GCAGGTGGTGAGGCCCCGTTCTCTACAACGCATCGTCGTAAGTATTATGTTGCCCTAGGAAAAGGTTATATGGTTTAGCGGAGGATAGGAGGAATCTGCTCTCTCCAGATTGGCTTGTGGACCGACTCGATCGACACTTAACGAAGTTATAAAATACATGTTCCTATCTCAAGGCCTAAAGCGCATCATGCTGCTGGGATCTAGCAGTAAATAAGATTCGTACCGAATACCTTTGTTAGAGACATTGGTTGGGTCACTCATAGTTTCGGTAATCTGAGGCGATGCAGTGGTCCACCCCTGCAGCAACGCCCTCCAGTAGCATGTATCAGCAGCTGGAGTCAGATATCGCTCGCGAAAAATATCCACATTGTTGTCTGCAATCATGCGAGCCTTGATAGGATTATCGAGAAGCTCTTGGATCTTGTGCGGTAAATCCGTCCAGTCCCTCTCCACCTGAACAAAGTTCTGCTGCGGACCGGACGAGACGAGAAGATAGTGGTGATGTTGGATATATTGTAGTTTATGAATCACTACTACCGATCGACAGGCTTGGCGATATTTGAGAGACGCTGAGTAAGACCGACCTAGAAGACATTAGTTGGACTTTCTCGTTGATATTGGTAATGCTTAGACGATGCAATACCCCATACCTTCCACGTGAGCGATGAACCGGTAATCACAATGATTGTCCATGCTAAGGTAGTTGGCCTTGTTCTTCCACTCGACCTCCTTCACATCTCCCCAGGCGTAATTCCGCGCAATTTCGAGTAGGGCACGTCGTAGCTTCGGGGCGAAACTGAGCTTTCCACGCCAGACCAGTTTGTTCTCTTTCTCGTCCCACGGGAGCTCATTCTCTTCCACGTGTTTGACTACCTCGTCATATGGCCCAATCTGAGTATCAACGTGGCCCCAAGACCAGAAGCCAAAGTCTGGCATAAGCCAAACTGATTCTTCAGTAGCCTTCCGTGCCAACACCCAGAGCGGATGATTTGGTCCAGCAATGTCCTCCAATTTGTCTTCAACAGAAAAGACAATTTCCGTGTTTGGGATCACAGCGAGCTGTGGAGCCGAGACGATGGCACGATGAATTGAAGCCAAGATTCCTAGAATCTTACGGCGGTGATCCTCCCCCTTCGCCATAGCTCTAAGGACATAAAGCCGTCCTTGGTAGATAGCCACCCTAGCCATGCCGTCTACCATTTTGATATTGTCAATATCAGTCCTCTTGATTCCATGCCTGGCTGTCCAGAATGACTGGGCACGGATGGGATCTTCAAAAAGCCCCGGGAAGAGATTGGTGCACTGAGTCTCATTGTAGGAATACTCAAGCGGATCAAAGAAAGTTTGCGTGGGAGGTGCAGAGGACGAGGAAACAGTGTCATGAAAGGGCAACTGGGCGGGGCATCGAAGACAGCTGTCACACTCAAAGATAGCAGCAGTGTGGCAAGCACAGTGGCCAGCGGGGATTAGTTGATTGAGCAGTGGATGGATGTTGTCTCTATCACTGTTAACTCCTAACCATAGTGACCAGATAGAGATCCCAAGAACCGCAGCCAAAGCCAAAGTGAATATGTGGAAGGCACTAAATTGCATACGCCGCCCCATTTCAGCGATTCTCTCGTTGTTGAGTACTGAAAGGACCGAGTGTACAAAGAAATTTCAGAGAGAAATAGAGGTTCACCCCAGCAGACGGTAAGCTGTCAGTCGCTAGTAGGGGAGAGGGGGGAAGGCACAACGTCTCTGCTAGTGGTAACAAAGGATTACTCACCTGCAATACTTGGCCAAGTTCTAGTGATATAAAATCACATCACTTCATGAAGCGCTAAATAAAATTACCCGGATAGAGCATGATTGACCAAAACATCTTTGTTACAATTCATGCCTGTTGCGATATCCACAATTCAAGAAATTGTACGGAAATAGAGGCGTACTTCTGAGGCTTCGCTTTCTTTGTTGTGGACCCTTTGGACCCTCAACGGACCCACTACAGGTACCTTCTTGGAAAGGATCAATTTGTCCTTAGTTAGCCCTACTACTACTTAGTCAAATGGCTTCTCATTAGACGCACGGTTACTGCGCCGCATGGGGGCTCTTAATGCCCTGCAGGGCGTGCTCAGTTGAACCCCTTGCCATTTAATGTCTATCACTTGCGATCCACCTGTGAAAAAGTACCTCTAAGCATACTAATGCACCCTAGTTTCAGGATAATTTATCTTCGCCTTTTTCCCCAACTCCCTGAGTCGCAAATAGCAGTACATAATTGACCGAGGTACTTACCACACGTCTCACGCCCGCTGCACCCTGTTTATGTTGGTTACCTCATTCGACGGATCAGTAAAGAATGTCAGCCCTGGCCCCATTTCTAGCAATTACCTGGTGTACGTCGGGGCGGGCCACTAGACTACTTCTGGCAAATGTTGTGGGTGCTTGTCTTGGTTCCACAACGAAAATAATCTATAACATTCGACGTGTTTGCCTGGTCCCATAACATGGTGGGACCCTAGGAAACCTTGTCCGTCAAATATGAAAATATCGGTTAAAATCGTATTACCGGCAAATGCAACGTGCAGCTTTGTGGTCGAGAATTGTTTAGTAATCGATAATCTCCTTCTTTGGTAGGCGTAAAGAACCTTGCCAAGGGGAAGAGTTAAAACAAGACTATAAGGCTATCATTACCCGCAGATACTCTGCGGACCCATAGAATCCCCTATATACTCAGGTACACACTGGGAGGAGGTGGATATCTATCTTTGTAAGGACTCCCTTCCTTACAGTAGAACTAGAGGTGCAATGGGGACCTCGGCAAAATTCTTGAAGCCAAGAATAGTGTAAAGCTAAGCAAATGTTTGAATTCCCTATTATGTACCGTATGTATACTTCTTTGCTCGTATTTTCTACCAGGGCTGAGGACTAGGTAAAGAAGGGTAAGTGTTGCATGTCCATGTCTCACACCGAGTATACGGATGTAAGATTAGAACCAATGTTGGGAAGGATGCTTAGAGATTTCCATGCGACCCAGCGTGTTCCGGAGTCGTTTACTTATTTACCACATGGTAATCGAATCAAATGGGAAGAGTTCAATGCCAAAGAAGAAGGTGAAGATGTTGAGACTCGACTGGCCACCTTGGGTTATGCCAGCCTAGCCGGACGTCGAGGCAGCGCAGTGCCGGCTCCTTTAGTGCCCTTGGTAATCGTCTTGATATTACCTAAGGTATTGGCACCCCATAGGCAATACATGCCACGGCAGAGTGCCTCATAGATTCTAAGGGTAGTCATAGAGTATAATTTAACTCTCATAACTAAAAAGTTAACCCTTAGGCGCCGGTGTCTTGGAGTTGAACTTGGCCCATGTAACCTTAAATGACAGCGCTCATGAACTGAAAATGGGACAGTATCATTTAGTTCCGAGAGCGACGAGCGACCAGAACGAGGGAGAATGCGTCCAAGAATGCCGTTAGCTCATAATAGAATTGAGCGTGCTTCGATTGGCAATAAACCCTAAAGACTAGTGCAAACCCTTGCAAGTGCCATAATACAAGAGCAGTACACATGGTCTGACTCACCATAACATAATCCCGGGCAAATGACAGTAGTATTCCGCGTAGGGAGGTTTTCACTTTTCGTGTCTCCGCTTTTGGTTCTTAGCCACGTAGTTCGGTGACAGCGGAAGCAAAGGCTAGTAAATAAGACTTATATAAGGAGGCCCCTAAACACCCTCGAGTCACTTTTATTTCCAAACCATCTAGAGCAATTCTCCTGACCCCAAAAGCTCCTTTCAAATACATCACGATGAAGTTTCTTATTGCCTCTCTCCCATTCCTCTCCACATTGGCATCGGCCTTTATTCCCGCGGATCCTGAGGACAGCGTGGAGACCGGCACCCCTACTCCTTTTGGCCAAAGTCTGATAGCCGGTCCTTCATTCAACTGCAAAGGCTCAAGCCAATGTGGCCATTTCCCAGGCATGACTGGATACTGCCAAAAGGCTGTTGATACTATGCTTCCAGGTCTAATCTTTGACACCAAGTAAGGAACCATTTTTCCATTTCCTGACAAAATAACCTAACATGTTCTAGCGGTGGCCGTACGGGCAACTGCTGGGGTGCACCTGACGGTCTTGGATGCGGTGTCTTTGTTGCCGGGCCTGGAGGGTGCACTAGAACCACCGAGCAGATGAAAGCAGCATTCAACAACATTAGGGCTCATGACTGTAAGATATGCGGCACTGTTACGGACGATGATAATGGCAACGACAATTGTCAGATCAAAATTGACTACGTCACGGGATGCAACAACCACAATTAAGGACCTGTTATTACTCTAGCTGTTGCTAGCTTGGGTTTCACTGTATGAATGACCTCAAATGTGGGAAGCCCCAGCACTGAATATTTTTGTTAAGGGTCGGCTATTCAAGGGAAATTTTTGAGCAGAGATAAACAAGTTTTGTCATCACTGTACATATAACTTTACATTGAATATAGCCTCATTTTTGTTGTACAAGTAGTTGGATTGACATAGGTTTCTGTTTAGACTACCAACGAGAAATAGACATGGTACCACTTACTTACCACAGCAGGTTGTCTTTTTCCAGGTCATAGACAGTCTGAGACGATTTAATACAACTGTTTCATCTTATTATTCTAATATTACCGAATATTTATTATAGAATATTAATGATCTTGCTACATGACTAGCTACATATATTATCAATTAACAATAAATAATCAATTATAATATTATGTATTATATACAACTAGTTGAATATATTCTACTCAATATATCTGAACTAGAATATTAAATACAGGAAGAGAAAGGAAGAAATATTAAATTAATATATATAATCAATAAATATGAGTAAATAAATTCATATTATATCTCTAAGTCACATGGAACAAAGCAAACAAAACTATATCACCCGCCGAAGTCACATGGCTCACCATTATACATGGATTAAAATCAAACAGTTTTTATATTAAATTTCATATTAGTTACATGACCTGCTGGGTTTACAACCAACTGGCTATCCTGCTCTAATAACAGTATTTAACCTGACCTGGCCTGAGTATTAACCACTCTACCACCAATGTCCCAGGCTCCAAGCTGTGATCTGTAAAGTGGATATATATCCATCATTTACCCCCTGGCAACTCGGTCGGTGATAATTGAGATGCCGATACCTCATGAGGGTAACTTTGATGATAATTTGGAACAATCCCGTGCTGTAGTATTGGTTGCAGTAACTGGCCAGCAGTACCTTCATGATATGTGGCCTGCAGCCATTTGCGCTGCGTTATCTTCCTTCCCCAGAGAAATCCGGCCCCTAGCATGGCACCAGCTATAGCGGTCAAAGGAATGGCAACACCAAGGCCAATTGCGAGCTTAGTGGACTCATCTGATGAACCAGAATTTGTACCGTTCACGTCTGCTGAGCTTGTCGCGGTAACAGTGGTGGTAGCTACACCTCCGATCGTAACAAGAGTATCTTTAATGGAAAAGATATTGTCTCCGCTGCAACATGAGGGATCATCACCACAACAGTAATCAACACCACTGCAGGATGTCATGTAGTATGTCCAACTTGAATTTCCCCCTGCCTATAGAAGAAACAAAAATCAGATGGTGCACACACAGACAAGAATTTTAAGACCCTCAACGCACTGTAGTGTTGCAGATTGATTTTGATAGGCAATTAGGGGTATCCCATGTCTCATCTGTACAGAAGTCTCTCCAATATCCTGCGTATCCCGTCTTATTTGTGTAACAAAGCCCATCAGCACGACATTCGTCGGGGTCTGTGTCATTAATCCGGCAGCACATTGACTGTACTCCTTCAATCGCAATACATGGACGATATCTGTCGTCCTCGATTTGGGTTCCGTCAGGGGCATAACATGACTTTGCAGCTGATATACCAAGATTCGCGAGAAAAAAGACGCCAAGCGTGATGAGCATCATATTCAGAAGTTTTCTTTCCTTTTTCTTCTTTGTTTTTCTTTCTTCTTTCTGATAGGGGGCAAAGCTGATGACAATATTTTGCAGGATTTCAAAAGCTTGAGGGGGCGAGGCTATGAAATAAGAGAACTTAAGACTATAAGGCGCGAACAGAGCCTCGCATTCCCGAGCGGGGTTCTTGGTTGCCTTGCATAAAGCCATTGCCCAATTATGTTGCTGGGGGGCGCAGCACACGCATAATACTGGTCGGCCCCCTGTCGCGGCATTTATACTTCAAAAAGTTAGGTCCGCAGCCAGATATTACAGCAATAGTTTCAAACGTTGATAAAGGAGGAATGATGCCATTTGAGGGCTCGGCTATGCGATTCAGCGAGAACTGCCCGGAAAATGCTAGTATTATTGTTATAACGAGTCGGATTATCGGCATTATGCCAGTGGATATGTAAGGTACCAAGTTTCACATTGCCGAAGCTTTTTTACGAGTACTAATGTATCTCCGCTTGCCCCTCTTGACCGGGGAAGAGAGACCAATGACGCTTGGGCAGGCGTGACCCCGGGCATACCAGGGGAACCGCGGAGGTTTTCACAAGTCGTGGGCAGCACGGCCACACGCCACAACCCGTGGCGAGTTCCTGAAATTCATAGTGCTTCAAGGCGTCAATATTAACATACAAATCCAGTCTAACTGTGACGAACATGATGTCTGGTGCTTCAGAGGGCTGGGTCATAGTATGTGGCGACGGATGGCGAGTCTAGAGACACGATATGTCCTGGCTTTACCGCTATAAGCGATCCGGAGCGAGTTGGCGCGGCAGCTGGCTGTAAAGCTCCGTGCGCTGGATATCACTGTGGTGGAGCCTACTTGCAATATTACCTAGCCAGACACGCTCGCCATATGCTGAAGGAATATGCCTCTAAACTACCACGTATCCGAGCGTGCGTGCAATGCACCATGGTACTGAGTATAAGCGACAATTCCTATCCTAACAATCTCTTCACGCATATTAAGAAAAACTGCTAAGACTCGCCCTAGGATGCCGTATCTATGGTGCTGATATATGAGACCTATATTATTAGCACGCGGCCCAAAGGTTTCGGCTCGCGAAACCTGCACTCCCCAGGCTTACTAACCTCCACCCAACGTACGGTGGAATTTTCCGCTTGCTGATTGGCGATATCCCGCCGTGCTCTCGCCGCCCCGCGTGCGTATGCCGAAGCGGGCCCTCTCTCCTGCCCACGCCATCTGCAACTTTACTCTAGTGCTAAACCTATGTGCAAAAGCCTTGGGAGTCTGCCTTACAATACACAACTAGCAATATACATATTAGAGTGTTTTTGCGTCGTGTTAAGTGGACAAAAAATCTGGATTTATAGTTCTCCTTGCTGTCAGTTTGCAGTGTCGCCGACAGGTCTCGCTCGCCATCTTCAGCGATGACATCCCGATCCTTCAAATACAGCTACACCGGCCCAGCGTCAGGCAATATTGGTAGATTAGTTATGCTCGGGCGCGCCTGAGTCGACCCAGAGCTCCCTATCCACCGCAAAACAGCCCGCTAATCCCTGGCTTGCCTCTGTGCTGCGGCTATGGCTGCCCGCACTCTAATCTGTTTCCTTATGTGAAGATGATGCTCAAGCATCGGTTGGAAACTCATCGAGAACATGATGGCTCTTCGAATCGCGACCGGCTATTGGTTGTCCAGACACTGATTCGGCCTCGAAACCGCCTAGCCGACCGAGTAGTAACCTGCCACATGTCCCAATCTAGGCTACAATTGGCCGGCTGTCTGTGCGAGGCCCAATAATAAGTTTCAGCTCCGTATTTGGTCGTGACAAGAAACAAATGAGTCCAGGGCCGAAACAAGACTATTAACCGTTGGCAATCGCTCGGGTTGCCCGGTGTGCTTGCTTCTAGAAATCCACCTGATAGCTGTTAGTATGACGAAAATAAAGGTGACGAATATAAAGGTGATAGTCGTGCTTCTCACAGGCTGATCAGGTTGCATGTGAAGTTGCGTCATTGCAAACAGCTAAGTTCACAGGCGTGGGTGACAGTAATCCATGTGGCACACCAATACCAGACAGTCACAACTGTGGTATGCAGATTGGCTACAGCGTGAACTTAATTTCTTGAAGTGTGAATTCCAAAAGCAGGAGCACTTAAACATTGATAGAATTACTTGAGATTGATGCAGCAAGACAGGGTGCCATGTCATTACAGGCACACTGGCCACATATGACCCACATTATCAGCCGCAGCTGAACCTACAAGCCCCGCACAGGCGCTTATTCAGGCAGCCAATGATGACCCTAACCGTGTCATCATATTCCACCATCCTTGCTGTCGTCAGTAGAAGTTCCCAACTTTGTATGTTGGAGGGTCATGTGTGGCATGTAGTACTTATCTATTACAAGAAAAACTTGTATCTGAGCAATAAAATGTAGCTTACAACAGTCCCAATTTGCTGCTCCAAGAATAATCATCAAGGTGTGATAAAAAGGAGTTGATCGTTCTCAATATGAAAAAGCATTTGTGTTCAAATCTCTCAGCCACTCTCGCGTGTGTACGTCGCAAATATCTCGACCACGGTCAGTCAACAACATTTACGTTGATTACACTTAAGCCAGGCGGTTTGATCCTTGCTTTCAAAGAGGAAGTGTATATTATTTCGTTATCTGATGAATATAATGCTTCGAGACGAATCCAATATGTCGAACATCGCCCTCTGTGCTCTACTCTCTAGCGCTCACAACGTCAGTTTACAATTCTAATAATGCATCAAAGTTCAGCTCTGGGTCTTCTTTGTATACAGAGTAGTTGATTGGCCCTTTTTCCTACTTTTGTAATGAGGGGTTGAAGCCTTTTTGGGTTTCATGCGGGCCTAATTGTAACGACGGCATTATCTTTGCATAGCCTCAAGACAAGGAAGAGGAATCAGTGATTGGTAGGTAGCCCCGCACCTTTTCCGGCCGCCAGGACGGACGGGATATACGCCTAAGGACTTATCCGGGGAAACCTCGGTTTTATAAAAATACTTCGGCAATACGCACAGGTACGTACTATGAATCCGTCGCGCGTGATAGCCCAGCGGCGCAGTTTGAGTTGCGCCACTTGAGGACTTCGTACCACGCTCGTCATAGGTATTACCGCCTTTTGGTAATGCCTATTTGGATCCGATGTTACTCTTTTTGACCAGCTGAAGATCGCTGGTTCTCCAAGAGTGTAGGCCTCTCCGCAGCGGTCACCTTCATTCTTATAGATAACAGTCCTGCTCTCTTTCCTTTTCTTTATATACATGTGACAAGCAACCTCTATATGTGTATGAAAGGACTGGAGCGACCGGGAGGCTCTCGATCAGACGAAGTACTCTGCTGATGGATATCGCGGTCTACTTACCCGCAATCTTTCTCTTGATCCCAGTTTGTTGCTGATCGCACCCTCTAGTTACCACGGTCCTGTCCTGCCTGCAATTCTCTGCTGCCCACATTCTTGTCTTACCTGCAGTCTCCTATTGTCCATAGCCTCCTATCGGAACTTGCAATCGCTTGTTTCACACCCATGGTGTTCGCCAAGATGAGGGGTTAGCTCCGCCCAAAGTTTTGTGGTGCCCTGAATCCCCAGAATTCTTACTTTATAGACACGTTACCTACGGAGGATTGCACCAACAGTCAAGACGCAGGCCCTAGTGTAATCGATCGTCTGCTGCATGGTAATGTCACTAGTCAGATCACAGACAGATCTTTTTGAAAGCAATATACATAAAGCTTGTTGCCCGAAAAGGTAGATAAGAAGCTTTTTAGAATCTTAAAATCAAGCAATGCGAAAGGTTGGATGCCGTATATGATGATCCTTAGCTCCCTGACCCTTGAGACAGTCAGTTGAGACTGTAATAGCTAAAGAATAGTCTGCATGCAGATTAAACTGGAAATATCTATAGTAATTTAAACCTCTTTTATTCCGCTGTACAGGCTTGCTATTCTAGGTATATTCTAGATCCAACGCAGTTGATGACCAGGCAAATTTCCTGATTAAAGTATTTTAAACTGAATATTCAACTCCTACTTCTTTTGATTACGAGGCTTTAGCTACTTGGTGGGAAGCCCAATCTACATACATTTATTTCTATTCTAATATGTAGTCGTAGGTTTCCTGATATCGAGAGGTTCTTCCTTTTAAAACAACACCAGACCATGAAGATATACCCTTGGTTTTGATGCCTGCGAGTGTAGGTAAAATTATATTGCCTAGTAGACATTTTCTAATACAGGTATATCTATAGTGATGGTCAAAGGTCACGGATATTCTATTTACAATAATATTATTCATCTAACTTCTAAGGTCTACTGTAGATGATCTGAAGTAACCATAAGATACCTAGCCTTTATAGAATTAGTTATTCCTGGTTTTTTAACTGAGCTTGATAATAACAAAGCTATGATTGTTATTACTTTAATGTTATAATAATAGGAGATACCAGTTTCAAAGACAAGAATTCTAGATAATAAATTTTCGGTCAGCTGAGTTCTGAGATACTTTGAGTGATCTCATTCCTTGTAGCAAGCTATGTCTCTTCAGAACAGCCAGTAAATCTCACCGTATTCTGTTAGTAAAGGGAATTAATATGACGGTTGTATACACGCCCTTTGGCCCCATTAATGGTTCCCCGAGCTTAACGCAAATGAAGAGTTGTTATACAAGGGATTTTATTAGTAGCCAGTGAAAATTAGAATTCTGAGCTCAACAGCTCAAAACGCGGTTCACCTATAAGCTTAGATAAATGTGAGGTTTTCCGAACCGTCACACCTAGTGCAAAGTGGCAGTGTGCGGCATGGGGCCGCAAATTTCATTACAGCAATCAGCTTGCTGCGAGTCAATGTCATGTATATTGCCAATCTCCGAAATCCCGGCCAGACAGAAATGCGAGAGCTTTTACGGACATTTATCCGGAAGAGGATTGTCTGGAACAACCTATCGTCTTCTATACCTAAGGCTTTCTATATTAGCTTGCCGACTCTCTGCTCTCAATTTTAGTGCTTCATTGAACTCCCCCTAGTATGGTATGGGGATTGTCAACCATATAAACATAGATAGCAGCATGCAGGTGAACAAAGACAATACGCGGCTACTGGAGCCTTTTCATGGCATGTGATTAACCGGACTCCGGCACTATTTCGTATTATGGGCTTTTCAATGTGCTATATTTTCGGAGGTAATGGACCTCGGACCGGGAGAACGAAATAACATCCATTATCCAGCAGTGTCGGACTTCGAATCATAGAGTTTTATTGCTTCTACATAAGAAATAGTCATAATACTACTAGTATTATACGCCGATATACTCAGTCTGCGACCCAGCTTTGAGATGTAATATTACCAACTTACAACAATGATGCCATCGTCCCTACGGCCTCAAAACGAGATGGTGATAATGCTATCTCTAAAACATTATAATTATATTGTAGGTTAGAAGGCGGTAGATATGTCAATTATGTATTCGTTGTCTACCTGGATGTTTTTCTTCTGCATTTCTACGATTGACAGGCTTCTTCACAACACTGCCTGATCTTCGATTGTCCTCAGACTTAAATGCGTGGATTGCACTTCATATCCCATAAAACACAAACATCTACCTACCTATCACCTGCTGTAATGGTGTCTCTTCTACCTGTTTAGGCATAAGTCAAATACAACCTTTCCACTCGCATGGCCAGTCGCCAGCCTTCCAAACGCTGGCCGAAATTGCTCCAACGGCCACACGCTATCCACCCTTCCCTTACACAGTCCCGATTCAATCAACTCACTGACCGCCCCCAGTTGATTGCCACTTGGTTGCATTACAAAGAATATATCCCTGACACCCCTTGTGCTCGGATTCTTCCATGGACAGACGGTTCTAGGAGGCTGAAAAATACTTACTACCGTGCCTCCCTCCTTCACAGTCCACCAAGCATCCCGGAGTGCTCTTCCCCCTATACAGTCAACCACCACATCCACGAGCCTTCCTTCCTCTTCCTCTACCCAGTCCTTCAGGTCAGCGGCTCGGTAATTCACAGCATCCTTGGCCCCCATGGATCGTACCAGATCGATGTTGTCGGGTCCACATGTTCCGATCACCTCGACGCCCAGCACCTTCGCTGCAAGCTGCACAACCCACAGCCCTACGCCACCAGATGCAGCCGTGACCAGTATTTTTTTGTTTTTCCATGCCGATCGCGCTTTGGATATATCCATCACGCCCTCGGGAGGGACCACCCCGGCGTAAATAAAGAGAATCTGCCAAGCAGTCTGGGCTGATACTGGCACCGCAGCAGCCTCGACCCAGCTCAAGCGTTTTGGCTTAAAGGCGAGCTCGTCTGCAGTCGCGATTGTGAAATCACGAGCGTTGCCAGGTCTGACATAATTTGTACGAGCATATACTTCAGCCCCAGGTTGGAAAGGGGAATCTGGGGGCGCAGAGACAACGGTACCGGAGACATCGGGACATGGTATTAGAAGGCGATCAGTGGGCGGAGGAAAGTTTCTCGGCCAAGAAAGCTCCCCGGCGCAAGGGGAGCATGCCTGGACACGAATCAAGTGCTCGCCTTTCGTTGGGTTGGGGTTGGCAACTACGTCGGTTTGGAGGGTTAGATCATCTGCGTTAGATTCAGCGGTTGGCTGAATCAGAGTACGTGCGGTTTCAATAGGCATGACAATTCGAAGGCCTTGATCGTTCTTTGTCAAATCCAGATTAAGAGAAAGAGTGGATGCATTTTCCAATCTCGCACGGGAATGGTGATCAGAGGGGTGATATATATCCATGAAGTATGATCCTGGCCCTCGTATTCAGCAGGGGTACACTCTCAGATCCCCGCAGCGCTTCGATCGGATTGGCCGCCATCATTGGAACGTTCGATCTAGACGAGAATCTCTCGTATTCAATTCCACGATGCCCGGTAGGGTAGAATACTAGTAATGATGATGAGATAAGGCTTTGATTCAATCCCAACCAAATTTCTGGCTACTATTGTGCAAGGTTGACAGCCAATCCGGTCGTCCACCGCGTGTGGCAATACTTCTATTATGTGACTCAGTTGCGTTAGATTGAAGGGAATATATATTAGCTATTTGAGATAATGGTATCAATACCTGGGCGAATCGGCAAGACTGTTTCCACGCCCCTTTCACAGTGCCAAGACATCCATGCTCAGGCACGTAAAAAGGACGCAAAATATCCCCAAACAGCCATATGTCAGCCTTCCATTGTTTGCATCATTGCCTGCGTATAGCGGCTTGGTTGGAGTGACCCTTTCAACCAGCAGCCCTGCCAAGTCCCCGGAATAGTACACTCAAACTTTACAAAGGAATGATATCAAGGCTACTGCCATAGGTACTCTGCAAATAGCCCCTGCTAGACATCATAATAAAGAAACTCAAGGAGAAGAAACCAGAGATTTACCATGGGATATCTATATAAGAGCATTAATTATTTCCTATGGCGCGAACCCAATATTATATCTCATGAAAAACTTTGCTGTGGAGATAATATTGATAATGCGAGGAACCAAGGATCACCTTACCATAGAGCTCCGTATGTAGGGGAACATGGTGGTCAGTACTCGTGCGTTTGCTACTGCCTGATCCTGTAGTATATATAGATACATATTGTTTGGCAGTAAGCTCCACTGCATCACAGTCAGATAGTACTTAAATGTCGACTCCCTTATCAAAATAATCTGCGCCGAAGTTCATTGCCGTTGAATAGTTCGCTGAAATGTAACACTGAGAAGACCCAACAGAAAACACTAACAAGGCACTGTTACCAGCATGTCATTGACCAGAGCTCGACTGGCTGGAATACCATTAACCTAGTTGGTCGAGCATCACATATATTCACATCTGAGTTGCTATCGCTGCTTGGGTAAAGACCCCGAGTCACAATGTAGATAATGGAGGGTAGCCAGATTTCATGAGTACATGTATATTACATAACAATGTCCCCATGGTGTTCGCGAAGAAGAACACATTATAAGTCTTTAACTTAAATCACCAAACAAAGCCCGGCCCTACAATTGTAAGAGATCTATCCCCATAGGAGCGAGATAAAGGCAACTCACAAGGTTGGGTTTATGTTCACACCGCATCCACGCAGCCTGATTGGTCCGGCCAGGTACATGTTTGGGCATCAAAGCTAAACCATAACCCTTCATCGCAGGTATAAACCGTAGCGGTGCCGGCATAATCGGTGTCGCATTTTATCCATTTTGTGCAATCACCAGGATATGGCATGTTAGCCACTTCTTGAGTTGCTGTCGCGCATACTACCTCTGCAATATGGCCGGCAGGGGTGCCTGAAGCATGATCCTGGGCGTTTGCAGGGAGGCAGACGAGTGCTGTAATAATGGGGAGAAGGGCGTAGTACATCCCAAAGACACCGGAGATGAGGACGGCTAATTGCAATATAATTTGAAATGCCCGGAAGGAAGTATTGATGGCTTTTATAAGAAGGGCATTAGTCATAGAAAAACAAATAATTGTTTGTGGCATCCGGCCATTACCTTGCCGCCAATGGCTACCAATGTCCCATGCAGGCATGCTCAGTGAATGAAATAAATTTATGCCAAGACGCTAGCTCACTAACTATTCCTCCCTTGCATCATGCTGCTAGTAGCGCAATCCAAATATTAGGAAATCTTTTCATTTGTTTTTGGCAGATGAGAAGCCCATAACAAAATGGTAGCCAGTTATATCATAGAGAATATTTGGAGATATTGAAGTGCTGTTTCATCTTCTCCTCGTTGATTGATTAGCTCCCATTTACTGGAATTGAGCAGTGTTTCGAGAGTATTAACTCAACAGTTCATGTTCATCCTCGGCATTTGAGATTAATACTAACGGCGACGGTACTACGGCAACCGGAGTAAATCATTCTCCGGCCACTCGGACGCGTATATATGCTTGCAGTGCTAAGCAGAGATGCTAATCACACCCAAAAACAGATTCAAAACCACTCTTCCTTCGACTGAAGGTTGGGGAAATAGAAAAGCAAGAATGACAGTTACATTCATACTTACTATCAAAAAAATATTTGCACTCGATATTAATTGGAGATAGTGACCGGAGTTAGTATCAACATAATAGTTAGTTAAGCCAGGCTCCTTGCGACGACTCATCAGGATCCGGATGATTAGTTAATGATACATCAGTTGATTAGCGATGACACTTTCATGTCGGTACAATCCAACTTGTAGGCACCAGGTGGGGCAATTTAAATTACTGACCAATATTACAATGACATATATTCTTCGGTATCAAGATCATTAAGCGCAATATTGATAACTTGTCAGACTGTCCTGCAAATCTACTGCCCAATCAAACCGTGGGAACATAGAGTGCACAACATTGATGTTTGTACAATGACTAGCTTAGATAGCACGATCAACTAGATACGTAGGACTTCTCATGTCTCGGGGAGACAACCCTGCATGAGCTCTCTATTATAACGAGGAATGAAACGATCAGTGCCCTCATCCATAATTTTAGACTTCCGGCGTTAGTGAAGATAAGTATCTTATGCTACTCTGCGAAACTATTACTCCAAAGCCCGGCTGACAATTATGCATAATTATTTTGCAGGTGGACCAACAAATCTAACTCCCAATACCAGTAATAATATTTCAAGATCAGGAAGCAAGCCTAGCCATTTTTATGGTATCATCTGGTATGTGCGAGAGCAGCATCGCTAAAAGTGCAACTTACATACATTCGAACCCCCACGGTCATTATGCTAAGGCCTAACAGATCTTGATAGAAGCTCAGACGGACCCGATATCACCTTAAGGTAGCCTTTACCGCGGAATTAGTCTCTTATATCTGCCGATAATCCGGTAAATGTTAGATAGTCACCCTCTATGCCCAGTCTCACGCACAATACAGGGGCAATATCGGGGCTGCTTTGGGGGGTGGGGCCCCAAGGAGAGTTGAGAAAGTACTATGGCAGTTCAACATCAGTATCGTTAGCTGACTTGGCGTTCTATCTGGGTATGCTTGTATTCATGTGGATCATATTAAAATCATAGTGTATTCAAGGAAACGCCAGCGGTGGAGCCCGTTCCTTGTAGCATAGAGATCGGACAGAGTTCGATGATACGGGGCATTTCTTTTACTCAAGTGAGGCATTTAGATATCTTGGCTACTCATTCTGAGTTATGAACATAAGAAACGGACCAGCAGGAGGGGGCAGATTACGTATACTAGGTTTTTAGCGAAGTTGATATGTATGACAGGGGCTTTGTTGAATCCATACTGTAACCTTTCATTAGGCCCTGACTTCTTGCTCAGTATCTCTATTATCAATAAACCTCGTCGAGAGAGCCAGTTGAAATGTTCCATTACCTGAAGTATACCAATCCAGTGTAGCTTTCTTTGGGCTACCCTGGACAGTAGCTGCAATCACGCTAGCAGTCATCTCCGACCTCAGATAACAAACTTAATACTTAATCTACATTTGGTTCGTCTTGGCCAGGAGGCACGCCATGTTTTTCTTTCGCTCCGGCCCATGGCAACGCCGAAAATCTTTCCCAAGTACCCACGCGGCTGCATCCCCACTTGCCGCGTCTCTAATCTTTACCCAGTCAATTCAATAGGCATTGCCGCTCCCCCTATTAGTGCACAAAGCCCAGACAAAAACCTGTTTGTATTTGTTCTAAACTCAGGTGGGAACATTCCGAATGCTAGCATTGTCATGGTGACTGATGAAATATCAATATCGAGTTCAACCTATCCACCCATATGCTCTGGTTGCTCTTGAAACTTCTTACTGGCGAAAAGGTATCATATCATACCAACAGTCCGTGCCTTGGGCGAAATACTACACAAAGTTACCATGTAGCAAAGCAACGCCGCTTCAGAAATAAAATCTAGCAGTTATTGAAGGACTTCTATAACTCCAATATCAACCTCATTTATTATTTGAGGCGCAGCTTGCTACTCAAAAGGCTGCAACCTTCTTCCACCGCTTATAGTATGCCAATCTATTCCACACCCCGTATACAAAGGCCCTCAGGATCAGAAATGTGGCTCCTAAACATCCCGGTTCTACCAGTCCCCGATCCCACTGCTTCTTAATCTCCCGTCCGAACAGTGACGAGCCCAGCTCCTGTCCTGTAATACGGATTGCATTCTCTCCGTTGGTGACAACGTAATATACTGGGCCGGAACTATCAATATATATTGAGTACGGACTGTCCATAACTTGCCAGCGAAGGCGTGCTAGAAACCGTCGAATGACTGTCTTTATGACTCGCCATCCGTGCCCATACTCGAGGAGACCGATGATACCCGCGTGAAAGGCGAGAAGTTCTTCGAACGAGACAAGCATCTGTTCAGTGGGCGTGCCGACGTGGTAGACCCCTGCAGATTCGAATTGGATGGAGAAGGTCTGGGCCTCTCAGCGTCGTTAGCATCGTCACAATAACGAAGTCATAGTATCTCATTACGGGGAAGAAAATTTCAAGGCCAGGAGAATAATCACCATAATGTAGACGTGGTATGGGTGGCGCGATGCAGTAGTAGTACATTCTGGATGGGATAGCAGTGTTCCAGCAGAGGTTGCTCTTGGTCTGAAACAGATGTTATAAGAATCTCAAAATCTTGGGCGAGGTGGTTTTAATTGAGACGTACTTCATCCATCCCACCCGAGCTTTCGTGGGTATTGTGACTTCAACTGATCAAATCCCGCTATTGATCTACCCCTATTACCAAGTGGGGGGTTTGATACTACTACTACGAGCTGGCTCGGAAAGCTTATTTTCGTGTGTCAAGGTCTCACTGCCTAATCCGTTCTTCAGAGACATATGAAGCCCTGAAGACGATCAAAACATTACGTTCTTCCTGGTCATTGTTTACGGAACTTCATTACTCGGCAACCATCAAAGCTAGACGGCAATGATTAATGTGGCAAAATGGTTTTCTACAGTAATATATTCTACGGCCCAGCGAACACTTTCTATGACACCACTTAAAGGATACTAGTCAGTAGACCCACCAACCGTTGGTGCCCAACTTGCAGAAGCTTGGATCAGGGAGGATCATCAAATCGGGAAAAGTAAACGAAACGTGTAGGCATGGGCTTCAATATATCCTCCTGTCTTTATTTTCCATGAGAAACTACTCTACCCACATATTTCGCAGCGTAATCATGCTAATCTCACTATCTTTCGAAGCTTGGTGTACCCTTTCCTCCGCACGAAAGTCTGGGGTCGGGTCCGCTTTCCGTGCCTCCACATCGGATGAGGCACTTACGTAGCCAAGCAACTAGTAGTATTCTGCAAGCACAGTATGGTTACTACCAAGGCGATTCCTCTGGAAGCATTCCAAAAAGCGTTCATCTGTGGACAATGTGGGGATCATCGGAATGTGGGCATTGGCGGTTCAAGATGATGTTGACTCTTGGTCAGACTATCTTGGTTGCTTCGTGAACTGGATTGTTGCGAGGTTCTCATCAGAGTACTGAGCTATTAATCGACAACTTGGCACAGGAGTTCGGTCAGCGTTTCAGTGTAGCACCAGCCGTGTCTTCTATAGCCTACCTATCTTGGCTAGTAACTACCTAAGAATCATGATCAGAGCCCATGAAGTCATTGTTCCTATCTACATTGGCAGGCCTCGTCTTCGCAGCGGGAGCGTCCGCGATGCCTGCCGCCTCGTCGATTGACCAGCACGCCTCAGATCTATTGAACGGTGACTGTGACCGAGAGTGCATGGCAACTATTGTGGATCAGATTCTGGCTTCCATGGTAGTGCACAACCCGTACAACTTGCCGATGGCTGCAGTACATCAGGCTACAGAAAACTCGCACCCCGCAGCGCTCGGGTTGATGACCGCCTGGCGAACTGTCACAGAAGCAGGGCCATCCAGTTTGCTCGCAATCGATACCACACAGGGGTCGGCGTAATTTGCCCTGGACGTCAGCGAAGGCAGTGACACGGAAAGGTCCATCATCAGGGGCCGAGTCAAGGTAGTCAACCAGGAGATCACCGAGTTGGAACTTTTCATAAATCGATACCGCGGGGACAACGGCTTCTCCTTCTGAGCCGCTAAGCTTCCCAGAAATTATGAGGTTTTGATGTCACCGCCAGATAATCGGACAACGGCGAGTCGGGAAACATTGACAGCTCTGAGTGAGGCATTGTTTGCCACTTCAAGTAATTTGTCCGTGACGGTCGACGCCAACTGCCAGTTTACCGAAGTTGGCTGGAAGGTCATCGATACGGGAACATACAACAATGAAACAACCACCCCGCTCAGTTGCAGCTGGCCTTCAGATCATCCAACCGATTAGAATGCGCGTGTCGATTTAGTCATTGATGAGGAGTTGGGCTCTGTTATAACTAGCGGCATGATCCCGGGTAAGGTCTACCCTTACCAAAACGTCTCGGCCTTCATCCCGGACGCCATGGCTTGTTTGCAGGAGGCCCAAAATGTGAGGTTGAACGAGGTGAAAGCACGGGGTATCAAAGGGCTTCTGGCTCCCACTGAGGCAACAGGGGAGACTCTTGAGGTGCTACAGTACTACAACGATGCGCTCCAAGCCATGCAGATTAATGTGTACATGAGTAGTTCAAATATGACATCGGCCTGGCTATAGTATATTTCATGGTATGAAGGAACATTAATCAGGACCAGCACACTGAGGTCTGTGAGGGAGCTGATCCGGAATTTTACTTCATATTAAATTGCTAGCTGAGCTAAGTACTTAGTCAACGCGAGATATGGTGTCTGATGACGTCGGGGTCATCTGCTTCAGCTCACATTCGCTTTCCTTTAGCTTTGGTACTTAGGGACGTAATCAGTCACTGACCAGGTCCGGGCCCTTGATCCTTTTACCAAGTTGAGCACAGTATATCAGCCTCCATCTTCCAATCATCGTGAAAGTCACCAGACGCACTGGGGGCGCTTTGTGGGGCCTGATCTCGTAAGTTTCCCCCCTCAATCCTTCTGTAAGACACGCATCATCCTCCGCAGAACTCCTTCCTATTCTTCCAGGACTTCTTTCACTTGCTTTGGGAGATAATAATTTCTCGCCAGGCCAGACCAAAGAGACCCATCTAATCTGACTAACCCAAGATTCATGGCCGGACACCCCGTGCTCTGGTTCCGTAAGGTTTGACGCCAAAGGTCCACAAGGCTTTTGGCACGAAGAGCGTGGTCTTTTGTGGGCGCTTGTACAAGCAGTAGCAGTAGGAAATTAGAGACCGTTGCAAATCCGACACGGGACCCTAGATCGGTCAGTATATCGGCGGCCTAGTGAGTGAGTTTTCCACAGACGTTACCCAAAAGGGACGAGACATACATCTATACCAGAAGCTCGACAAGTCACTGGTAGTCATACGCATCACCAGACGGATTACTTTCGCCGCGCAATTATCGGCTGCGCGGAGCACCGCATTCCCCATGCCATTCTCATCGGACATGTCAATGGCCATGGACGGCTCGATCTCTTCGGCGTCGAACAACTGAGCCAGGAGGTCGTTGAATTGGTTCGTGAATTCCGTTGTCTCGAAATTCTCCTCGAGCAACGGAGGCGGCGCGGCAGACCGAACCATCGGCCGCAGGAGGGCGCGGAACACAAATACCTCCAGAAGGATGCAGGCAAAACGGAGGCAGTTTGACTGGCAGTAAATGCTGTCCAGAGTAGTGGGCTGATGATCGGGCTGACGTACCGATACTGGGGAGTGCGCGTACCACTCCTTGAGCTTCTGTAGAAGAGGACGGGCAGTTTCCAGCGTTGCATGAAAATCCGGCGATAAACGCTGCGACGCCTTTAGCGTGCTATGGGGCCAGAAGTTGGTCAGTATGGCATGATTTAACATTAGGGAGACGCTACTGCCACACCAGCTAGGCTTCCTCCACACCAGCCTTCGCTGATTCCACACCCTCCGCCTATCTTATATGGTAAGATCCCATCGCTTTGAGCTGGTGCTTGGTTTCTATTACAGGCAGAACCATACCGCCTTCCAGCTTTGAAACCTATATTTGGGGCAGAATTCCAGCAGCTCAGGCAAGTAATCTACCAAAACGAGACGGCGGTAAGAAACACCGAAGAAGGTATACCCTAAAGGGAACGGGCCTTGCCTTCTTAGGTAGGCGGAGGGTGTGGCATGATCGAAGGCTGGTGTGGAGGAAGCCTAGCTGGTGTGGCGTCTCCCTTACATTACAATTGTAGTTGGGAGACCTACAAAAGGGAGCGTTGTAATTCATCAGCAATGCGCGACAACTGAACGAGTTGTTGGAATGGTTGAGCAGTGAGAACATCGTGTGAAGAGTGTGAGGTGGACGCAGGTTGCTGCAGGGCCAGGCGCAGACTCTCGGACATCACGAAATCATCATCGCTCAGATCTGTGGTGTCCCAATCGTCGCTTCCTATGTAAGACGGACGCCCAATAAGCAAGCAACGCCACTTATCTTCGGCGTAGATGGCCCACCAGAGGCGACAACGAATCCTCTTTTCCCATAATGGAAGTCCCATGAGCCTGCAATCCAACTGAAGCCCAAGCGACATGGCAATGCCTACAAGCATGCCCACCAAGGACCAGGTGAAGGCACTATCAGCCACAGCACTTTCAGTGGCGCTGATTGGTCTGTGAAGGTAGAGAATTCCTGCTTGGAGTGTCGAAAGACGGGCAGTGTGGATGTCCCGTAGCAGAAGGTCAAGAACCATGCGCCAGAGCAGATCAGTCGGGGGAGGAGCGTACGCATCAATCAAGCAGAGATAGTTATCAAACTTGGCGAATGGTTGTGCTGATGCGTAGATTGCAGCCAGAAGACACAAGGGTGTCCTTTGAAGGATACTCTGGTCGGGCACCGTGCCTGCTGCTGCAAGCCCAAAATGTGACCGCGAAATGATCGGCAGCGTCGGAAATATAAACTTCATGAAGCTGGAGAGAAAGGCATATCATGTCAACCACAGAGCGCATCAACGGTGGTATTCTTGTCAGCTTACAGCACTACCAATCTCTGGCCACATTCGGGGGGTACAATGTGGTTTAATTGCTCATGTGTGTTCAGTGGGTCTGGCGGAAGCAGCTGAGCCTTGGAAGACTCATAGAGCTGATCCGACGAGACCAAAAAATGGCAGGGAATCTTCTCGTCAAACGGAACGCCCCCTGCGTTCCGGAAGTGCACTTGGTGGAAGGAGAGGAAGCCTCTGTCGTTGAATTTGCAGTGTCTTAGAAGCCACGGGTCAGATTCGGCTGACGCGCCATTGACCTGGTAGGATACACCAGCCAAACCATCAAGTGTCTGGATGGTCTGATGCGTGTGTCTTTCTTTGAAGGCAGAAGGCGTGTGCGGGCGTGTGCCGCCTGGATCTGCAGAGATTCTCACCGTGTCTAGCTCGAAGAAAGGGATATCGACTGCTTGATGCGCAACTGGGGGATCTTCTTGGTCCACCACCAGATCCTCGGTCGCTTGCAAGTTGCTTGTTGCGACCGGTCGGGTTTCTGGTGAAGGTGGTTTCGGCGGCACAGTGCCCTGACGAGAGTGAGGCCGAGGGCGAGGGCGAAGACGAGTAAAGGAACAATACTGACCCGCAGCTAAACAGCGCTGACAGCTGCCATGGTGATCGGCTTCGCAGCGTACTTTTCTCCGTCGGCATCCGTCACATGGGGGGTGTCGTTTTGATCTATAGGGGCGAATGGTAGGAGGTGGCGAGCGAGTGTGGAATTGATGGGGAGTTGTTGGATTCGGAGAATTTGACGCCATGCGACAGTCGGTCAGCCGATGATTTGCGGATTGAGAATGACGTTTTCTTGGAGCAGTACTTTGTAGAAGATCAGCAACGCCGATAATCGCCGCTGGGGTTTTGAAGGGCTACTTAACTAAACCGCCGAAGTCACTTCGACAGCGGCCAAGAACGAGTTGGCCGACAAATTCGCCGAATGCCTTGTCTGATTCGTTACCCGCCCAAATGACACCGCCGAATGGGTTTGGCCCGAGTGTCGCCGGAAGGCGCACATTACCACCGCCACTATTATTCCTAGTACTACCACCACTACTATTACGACAGCTTCACGCCGTTGATGCTGTTATTTCAATCGTATGCTCCTCTCATTAACTGTTAATTATACTCCAGTGAGCCAATAGAACGTTAAATTCCACTGAAATCTCGCAATATGGTACTTCAATACCTACCCCCCTCAATCGTCGATCAGCGAATGGAAAACATTGAACCGGTCGGTAAGTATATCAAGAATCTCGCATGAAATTCAAGTTGACCATTACCAGCGGTATCCATTCCCCCTACAACAAGATCCAAAGCATTGATCCCCTATTCCGCGTTAGCTCTTGTGTGGCAATTGTAGGGGTTATCGGCTATGTGTGGCGGTGAATCGAGTACCATTGTAGAAATGAGAGTAGGATGGTGTGGAAGCTTCGCAGCTCTCACTATATGTCGGAGGCGTGGCTGTTTCACCACTGAATGACTGAAGTCAGCAAAGGGTTTCTAACATCGGAGACTTCGGGTGCTCACTTGGTCATCGGTGTGGCAGTGGATGGTGTACTTTGCTGCGCGTCTCTCTTGCGTAATTCGTCCACCCTGTCCACAGCAGGTGTGGAATGACAAGATAGTCTGGCTTTGAGGCCGGTCACTTTCTGTCTCCAATCCATGATGTGGAGGTAAATATACAATGCATTTCCCGGTAAGGGTCACAAACAGTACGAGGGACCAGGAATGCTTTATATGTGCCAAATATAAATAAGACCAAGGGGTTATATCTACGGCACTTGCCGTTCAGGCATCAAGTACCTTATCTTTCGGTTCTGCTCACTCATGCACTAAATCGAAAACCTTTTCGAGCAAGCCACCTGGCTAATTGAGTGGCCGACAGCCGAGAAAGTTGCATCCTCCTTGGAAGAGTGCGGCGATGGGGTGCCTGCATTTCGCCGATTTTTTTTCCTAGAGAAGCATTCTTGGCCTCAATGTTGACTTCGCCGAGGTTCCCCTCTTAGACTGCTCCTAAGCACAACAGCTGCGGCGGTCACTGCTTCCCAGAATCTATGCTAAAATCAGTAAAAGAACAAGAATGTGATTTGCTTCTAATAGGTCTATTCTAATTCACTTTGTCGGTGGACGCGGACACACCACTACCCGACAAGAAATAGTATCTCGTTTGGCCTTCACAGTCGCAAGTATGTGTGGTCGCAGGCTTTAGAACTTGGCTTTCACTTTCCAGCCCGCACAAATGCCCCTGGCAACAGCAAAAGCGACCGCGGAGGCCGCATACAACACGCCTCCGAAGACAATCATGCCCCAATATTCCCCCTGGTTCTGTTGCTGGATAGCACCCGCGATCGGGATGCCCGTCAATGTACACACACTGACTATCGTAAATGTCGTCCCGCTCCTCTTCCCTAGATCCTCCGTCTTACAGACTTGCGAAATGCACACGGGGGTGAGACTGATAGCAGCACCGCTCCAAAAGCCGAACAATACCGCATAGCAAATTACTGCGGGCATATTCGCCCTTGATGCAAGCCACAATGCCAGGGTAAGCGCCGCACAGATGATCGACGTTCCTACCATCACATTGAACCTTCCGAGCCGATCTGCTACTAAGCCCGGGAGAAACCGTCCTGGGACAGCGCATAAATTGAGAAAGATACTTAGCGCGTATGCGAGGGTGTCGTCCATGCCAATTTGAATCCCGTAGGATGAGATGTAGGTAATCGGTATGAAGACGGCGAATTCCACTAGGAAGATCGCTATTGTGGTTGCGGCATATTCCTTCTCTCGCAGGGCGCGAAAGTCGACGGATGCGCCAACGCTTTTCTCATCCAGGACCCGTGTTTTCAGCGTCAGACATGATATCAATAAAAGAACAGCACTGATAAGTGCAATGATACGCATTGCCCAGGGGAAACCAATTCTGGGTGCTGCAAAAAGGATAATAACGGGGAATATGACTCCTCCTATACCCCCGGCAGTGCAGGCGATGCCGGTCGCATATCCGCGTCGCACGTTGAACCAGTGCCCAATGCAGGAAACGGCTGGAATAAAGAGGGCACATGCAGATAAGCCACCAAGGACACTGAATGAGAGGAATATCTGGTAAAATTCTATCGCAACAAGTCAGGATTATCTGTACCACTGCTGTACGGATAACATGTGCTCCCAACCTTGGCTGAAACTAAAGCCAATCAGTGCTATAACCATGCCGATTGAGCCTGGAAGAATAACATAGTTGTGTCCGTAGGTATCCAATATTGGTCCTGCTATTTATCAGCAGCCACAAAAATCCAAGGTGATTGGAGACTTTACTAACCAGTTTGCGCCCCAGCAGCATACAAGAAGAAGCTGTACGCGCCAAATATCCAGCCAATGCTGGACTCGGAATAATCCTGGAGCTGGTGCTTACTCGTCCATGCATGAAGAATACCCAGGCAATTAAGTAATCCCATGGAAGGGATCATCGCACACCATGCTCCAAACACCACCAACCAGGCTTCGAGTCCGCCTTCGGGATATCCGTGCCGCATCGTAGTTTCGATGATGGTCAGAGGAGACGCAGACTCGTCTCTCTCAGTCTTCATGGCAAGAATAGGGAATACTTTGGTACTTTTGCAAGCAAGACCTGGAGGGTAAAATCACTCTGGCATGTATTACGCTGGAGGAATTTCCAATGAAAGCTATCGACCTAATAAGAGACCTAGGACTGCTTTCGAGTTTCAGTATAAATTTCTTTTAAGAATCTTAAAATCGGCGACTATTCAATTTATGGACATCTTCCCCGTTCTAGGCCGACTGGAAAATGAGCATTCGGAGGTGTTTCTTACTACTAGTACTTAGCACACCATGGAAGCATTTTGTTGATGACCAATAAACCTCGGTGTGCTCGGCCGGTGATTGGTTGTATGTCCGTCTGTGGAGCTGTGCTTCGGCGAAAGGTGATTCTAACGCCCATAGTTAATGCTGTCATGTATTAGACCAGACACTCATGCCGGGTTGACCTGTGTTATCTCTTGCATGTAAGTCCGGCGATTAAGTACCGGTCAGGCAATCAGTACATGTCAACACCCCCGAGAATAGCTCTGCCTGCAATATAACTTTTTAGATTCCTATTTGGGTATCCATGGTAATTGTATACATTTTGACGGCGGGGGAGATTCATATGGCAATAAAGGCCTTATGCCTTGTGGTACTCATTTGTTGTGCACTCTAGTCCACTACATCCCGAGCCGGGGGAGTATTGCTGATACTGAATCTATAATACATGTTATGCCATTTCTGCATATGAGAATGTCTCTCCTTTCATGCTTATTTTCCCTGGCCAGCGTTCTTCATGGTCCACTGGGCAATGTTACCCGGGGGGTGAGCCGTCGCAATGGTCTTGCCAGCGAACTTGCTGATGATGCTAGTGTCAGATCCGGACATGGGGCCGGAGTTACCGAAGGCGTTGAGCTGGCAAGAGCGGCCGAAGACGGAGGCACACTGCTTGTTGGTGTTGGCGTCCGGCGAGCTGAAGAGCTGGCCGCTGATGGGGGTCTCTACCACAGTGTTGACGTCCTGGAAGACATTACCCTCGGCCAGGACGTAGCCACCAGTGCCGATCTCGAAGGCGTGGCCATCGAAGTTGTGGAAGAGGTTGTTCACCTGTCGGCAGAGTAGTCAGCAATGTGCAGATGGTACAGAGGGTAAAGACTACATACGGCGTGCAGCAGAGTGTTACCCTGGACCTTGGGCATGCGGCCGCTCAGGTTGTAGAAGTAGTTGCCCTTGAGGGTCACCATGTCGTTGCTGCCGTCCAGGTACACTCCCCAGTAGTGTTGACCGTTGCAGGTGGCAGAGTAGTCGGAACGACCATCGATGAGGGAGTAGGAGATGGTGACACGGTTGTCGGCGCTGGTGCCCAGGACGATGTGCTGGCGACCAATGCGAGCAGTTGTCACATGGTCGATCCAGACCAAATCAGAGTCATCGACGGTGATGGCATCACCACCCCAGACATACTTGGGGTTGATGTCGGTGACGGCAATGTTCCTGGCCGTTATTAGCAAGGATGGATTCACATCTTACGACCGATGGTCCGCACTCACTGGATAATGACGTTCTTGGCGCCGCTGACCACGCGGAGACCCTTGCCCTTGATGACACCCTTGTTGCCCTGTCCAACGATACTCTTGTTGGAGTTGATTGTGATGGGAAGGATACCGGCCTTGTCACTATGCGGCAATCAGCATGGCGAGAGTCTGAGCATCAATCGAACGGGGGCAACATACTAAGTCACGGATACCTTGGGGGCGCTAGCCTGGTAGTTGTCGCACCAACTGTGCAGGTTGATCGCCACCTGGCATTGGGAAGCAGTTCCCCAGGGAGCGCATCCAGTGGTAGTCTCGGTACCCTCGGTGCCGGTAAAGTCGAAGCTGAAAGATCAATGTATTAGACAATTGTCTACCCCCGTATCCCAAATAAAGGATCGACCTACGTTCTGTCCAGGATAATCACACGAGGCTCATTGTCTCCCAGGTAAGAGACTAGCTCATCAGTAGTCGTGGGATAGACGGGGGAAGCGCTGCCACCGCCAGTGACGCCATGAGCAAAACCCTCGGCGGCGCCTACAACGCCAGCGGCACTGACAGCGCTGGCCAGGGATGCCGCGGCAGCAGCGAAAAGCAGCTTGTAGTGCATGTTGGACTGTCAAAGTATAGAAGATATGAAGGGAAACTAAAAGAAAAATCGGAAAGAATGAAGGTCTTGGGTGTTATCAAATAACGACAGCCTGGAAAGAGTGACAGGCGTGTAAAAGAAAGGAAGGAAGGCGATGTCTTCTTCTGGATGACATTGGAGAGGGAACATTTCCAGGTATATATACAAGCCGGAATACATGATGGTGGAGCTGGCAGTCAGACTGTCGCCGTTTGGTCCCCTCAACCATGTTCTGGAATGAGACGAGGGACCCGGGGACAGGACCTGAAATGGATGAGAATCCAATCTATGTGGCTTGGCAGGCAGGTCTTGGTTTCTTCTACCGGAGATTAACCTGTCAGTGGGTGTGGTGGCTTATATTTTACAATGTTAAAGTAGCGCTACTGCTGCCCAGATATCGCCGGACTCGCGGAACCAACATCTCCAGTTTTATCTTCTTGGGTCTACGAGTCATGACGAATTTAATGAGAATGGCCGAACAAGTCAGGAATGAAAAGCCTGCGATAAAGCTTGTCTGCCTAAATGCCGAAATCTCTTCCCAAGCAGACCTTGGGTTAAGGGCGGACCCGGGAACTCCGGTGAAAAACGAGGTCTGCTTGGCGGAGCATAGGAATGGTGAGAAGCAGGATAGTGGTCCACTTCAGGATGTCTTAGAAGCAATTCGGCTGGCTTCCGAAGAAGAGGGGGGGGGTGTGGAGGTCAGGGTCCCATGAAAGGCCCTGACCTATATTATTCAAGGCTTGCTTGGTAGAGGGAGAAAAGTGGTACCGGCAGTCTGACAGTGAGACATTGCAAAGAACTGCCCCAAGAGAGGGTTTATTATTCTTGAGTCCCAGTGGAAATTACTAGAAGCCAAGAAGCCTCAAAAGGGATTAGCTTGGAAGTTACGTGATAATGTTCGGTCACGTTGTAGTTTGTCTTGTTTGCTAGATTTCTTGGAACACATGATAGATAGGGGACTCACAGCCTCAGGCATCCGTCCATCCACCGCCTCCTCATCTCTCTCTCTTTCTATTCTCCAAGGATGCCACATCCATCTCCATTCACCATCCCTTGATTATATCTCCCGACGCTTCCTTGGCCAATTACACACTGCTACAAAAGGATAGATATGTCCCCGCTCTCTCCAACCAGTACTTGCTGGACTCTAGATGATGCTTGCACACAAGGGTGACCCTGGCATTGTTTTGGGGACGTCAACTCGACGGTGCGTACATTCAAGGGACCAGCAGCTGTTGTGTAGTAGTGTCTCTACCGGTCGTGCTACAAAGAACTGGCGTCGGTTTTAGTTTATCCTCATCCTCATATCTTGAGTCGTCCGTCAATCAGCCCGCGCTGACTCCCCCACGCCGACAAAGACGGTGTCTGTTAGTTCTACTACTAGTAACAGTGGTACTAAAAAATATATTCCCCCGGGGTCACGCTTACTAGCAGCCCGGTTAGTAGTAGTAGTTCATCATTTCCAACCACCCTTCACAATTTTGACTCCAAATCGAGCAAGCAACTGGTAGTAGCACTACTAGTACTCTCATCATCATCATCATCATGTTTCAACTCCTCCCCGTTACAGAGGCCGACCTCTCCTCTATGGTCGAGTTGTGGTACGACGCCTTTGGTGATCCCATCAATCGGCGGCTGTATCCCGATACCCCCGGAGCGCGCGCCTGGCTAGAGGACTACCACCGCGCCAGTCTGCAATCCCCTGATCAACACTATCTTAAAGTTACCACAGATCATAGTACCTGGTCGACCTCTCCCCTCGTAGCATTTGTGAAATGGGACTTCAACACCACCTCTCCAGGTCACCACTTTCCCCCGCGCCATGTCGATTTCGACTGGATCTTTTGCGACACGTTCTTCGGGGGGCTGGACCAGGCGCGACGGACCATCATGGGCTCGCGTCCGCACTATTGTATGCTCCTGTCCTCGATATTCTTCCTTTTTGCTTCTACTTTCTATTATCCTCGTGCCTTTGGTGATGCGCCCGCTAATGATGACATGTCCCAGATCTGGATGCCCTGATCACCCACCCGGATTATCGCCGGCAGGGAGCGGCATCAATGCTCATCCAGTGGGGATGTAAGCGTGCTGATCAGGACGGAATCCCCATCTGGGTGGATTCCAGTCAGGAAGGGGCCCGGATCTACCAGCGCTTTGGGTTTCGCGATGTCAGTGTGTTGGGGCTGACTCCGACCGGCGCCATGTCCATGCTGCGGGATCCCGTTGGTGGTGATGCCGCGTAGTAGCTAGCAAAGTGTGGGAATTTTCATGTATCTAGCTAACCCGAGTAGTTCTATTACCACCATCGCTCTCTTACAATGGTTCGGGGCCCCTGAGCGGCTGCATCTCAATATACTCGGTTCGTAGACTCCACTCGCGCGTCTGGTGGATCACCAACCCCCCGCTTGCCTCCTCCAGATTCTCCTCGCACTCCCTCGCTCCCCCGGTCGGGATCATGGTAATCTCATCCTCTGCCGGATATGGGTGCGATCGGGCCTTGGATGGAGGGCCCTCACTGGTTTCCGACCGCAGATAAGAGCCATCTTTCTGGCCACCCTGACCCCAGCCCGTGTTGAAGGCTATCACAAACGGCTTGAGGCAGGGCACCGTCGCCGCCATGAGACTGCTGTGCAGGAGCACTTCGGTGGTCACCACCACATTCGACATGTCCAGCAGGATATTGTTTAACCCGACCCGATTGAGGTAACATTGGCGCACAATGGTAAGGGCGACAATCCTTACCAACGGTCAGCTAATGTGGCCTAGTCATATACGCGGCAACAACAGGCAATGAGTGTACGTACAAGATTCGGGTGCCAAAGGCACCTATCACCCCGGCCTTTTGAGTGCGACGCATCTGCACTCCCCACACCAATCGAATACTCAGGCCCACCAGAAGGGCCTCTGTGATCACATCGAACGCTGTCATGGCACGCCATCCCGTCATCTGGCTCTCTTAGCATGTATTCTGGTCATCATCCGAATGTGGCAAAGGCAACTGACGAAAGAGTGGCAATGCGTGAGATTCCATGGCTGAGAAGGTTCACATTGAAGTCCCACTGCAAGAAGGGAAGCGAGGAACCAGAGGACGAGTACCGCGAGGCCCACAGTGCAAAGTCGTATATAGGCGCCTTCTCGGCCCAGGCGCCGAAGAAGGAGGCAGACAGATACTTTGGAGGCGCCATGGCTAGCGAGGAACAGGAGATCGGCTGTATACAAAGCCTGTCATGATAACCCTGAATCAGTAATCAAGACAAATGACGCATCCCGATGAGAAGGTAGAAATTGCCTTCATGGCACCCTCTTCGTCGGTCGGATTGATTCGACCCAGACCCTGCGATACACCCTTCATAATGGCGCCCACATTCCCAATTCCTATCGCCTGTTCCATTGAGATCGATCAATTCAGGCATTCCGAGCGGCAGTGAGCTCAGGGTTACTTACTCCACCGATCCAGACTACGACATCATCCCATCCAGCCGGTCCGTTTATGGCAACCCGCATATAAACCCGGAACAAGGACACCAGCACCATCCAAGACATGAACAGCGTTGCGGCGATGACGATCACCCCGCTGCGGTCCGTCGGGCTGATCCCGTAAGGCGCTGCCATGTGTCGACGGGGTGAGGCTTGAGGGGATTCGGGACGATGGACAGAGGCATTGCTGAGGCTCTCAACCTGCCGGGACTTACTTTATAACAGATCAGGCGGCTCAGAGGACAGGGAAGTGATTCCTAAGATCAACAGGTACCCTGGTCGGAATGTCGACTGGGGAGGACAAGAGGGTGAAACAGGCCCAGAAGCGACCACACCCAAATTTCCCGCCTGGCCATCGGTCGGAAATGAAAGCCAGACGACAATTTTCCATCCGATCCCGATTCATAGTGTTACGACTACTGTATATTAGGCCTGACGTGGCCAGGGTTTAGGGAAGGATGGCTACGGTGCTGACTGGCGGTGACCAGCCCTCCTTTGGTAAGGCTGGGATGGGGGCACGACCAACTGACAGGGATCACATTCCATCGTCTGAGAGTATAATAACCTGTCAATTGGACGATGTAACGGCGGGCTACAGTCTAACCGGGGTCCCTGGCAAGTACTTCGGCGGTGCCATCTCTAGCTTGGGGACTAATGCTGCTAACTGCTGCTAGTCTTGCGAGCCACGGCAGAGAGGACCGTGACGCTGCATCTGTCCCACGTACTGATTAACCCTCCGATCCCCCCCATCATCTTTTTGGCAGCCAAAACTTTTGTTCGATCTTATCGAGCAATATATGTCAAGCAAAGCCAAATCTTAGGATGTGGCTGGAGAAAGGGAGCAGGTCGGTCGCCTACACCACTGCGCCGGAGGAGGGCTCCTTGCCCTCCACCAAGGGCGGAACCACTCAAGATGGCCGCGATATGTGGCGTGTGGGACGTGACCAGGAGTTGAATGTGAGTAGACACTCGAGAGGTGGCTCCAATCCCGGCTCCCTAGCTAACTGGCACAGCGCAATTTTCGATTCCTCTCGGTGCTGGGTTTCAGCGCCGTGCTGATGTGCACCTGGGAGGCTGTGTTATTGTAAGCCAATGCAATACGAACAAGGCAGTTCAAAGGAGGTACTGACAGTTGAACAGTGGTGCCTCATACGGCCTGACTGATGGAGGAAAAGGTGGAATGGTCTACACCTACCTCGGTGTCCTCTGCGGATTCAGTTTCGTAATTCTCTCCATGGCGGAGATGGCATCCATGTGTGATACCCTCGAACACCAAGCTTTGCTCTTTCTCTCCTCCTCCTGTGTGCTTTGATAGTTATGACTGCTCCTAGGAAGTGGCTGCTAACAATTGGCCTATAGGGCCCCTACCTCCGGCGGCCAATACCACTGGGTATCCGAATTTGCCCCGCCCAGTTGCCAGTGTTTATTGAGTTATATCACAGGCTGGGTATGCGTGCTCGGATGGCATACGGGCATTGCTGGTTGCAGCTACACTGTAGCAAACATGCTAGTCGGTCTCTTGGCAATCAACTACCCAGATTCCTATGAATATAAGCCGTGGCACGTTACGTTATTGGTCATTGCAGTAGCCTTGGCTGCACTGCTCTTCAACACGCTGCTGGCACAAAAGCTGCCGCTGATTGAAGGAATAATCTTGATTGTTCACTGCTTTGGCTTCTTTGGCATCCTGATTCCGCTGTGGGTGCTGTCTCCGTCGGTGCCACCATCAGATGTCTTTGGCTCTATCGTCGACCGTGGAGGATGGGGCAGCAACGGACTATCCTGCTTGGTCGGGGTGGTTGGGCCAATTTATGCTTTGATCGGTACGTCGCATTGATCTAGAGAAGCGAGTTAGATTGCGCCTTGAAGCAATACTGACTGATGCTCAGGTCCTGACTCGGCTGTGCACATGTGTATGTCTCTTTTTGCTGCGACGAGCCTTTTACGTAACCAACTAATTCAGTAACAAGCCGAGGAGATCCGTGATGCGTCGCGCGTATTGCCCCTAGGCATGGTTTGGACGCTGATTCTGAATGGTGCCACCGGGTTTGTCATGATTGTTACTTTCGCCTTTTGCGTGGGAGACATCGACAAGGTCATGGCCTCAACCACCGGTTTTGCCTTTATCCAGGTGTTCCTGAACTCGACTGGCTCGGTGCCCGCAGCAACGGGAATGACAGTGGTCATCATGATAATGCAGTTCTGTGCCACGATCAGCAATGTGGCCACTACATCTCGACAAATCTATTCTTTCGCTCGTGACCAAGGCGTTCCATTCTCTAGTTTCTTTTCTCAGGTGGCGTTCCCTTCGGTGATTCACCATCCCTGGCCACTCATATCATACTGACCCCATAAATCAGGTCAACAAGACATTCACCGTACCATTAAACGCGCTCTGCGTCAGCTTGGTGATTGTCTCCCTTCTATCCTTAATCAACATTGGATCTTCCGTGGCCTTCAATGCCATCATGTCGCTAGGAACGGCCGCCCTGCTGTCATCGTACCTCATCTCCATCAGTTGCGTGCGGCTGCGACGATGGCGCAAACAGCCTCTCCCACCCGCGCGCTGGAGTATGGGTCGGTTCACTCCGTTCGTTGATACGGTGTCTCTGCTGGTGCTGATGGTCGTCTTCGTCTTTACCTTCTTTCCTCTGACAAACGATACTGCACCGTCCGAATTTAACTGGGCCATTGTCATTTTCGGCGCCGTCGTGGTGTTTGCCTTGGTGTATTATGCTCTCTACGCCCGGAAAGTGTACAAGGGGCCGGTGACGCGGGTGCGGGTGGCACAATAATGGGTATACAGACAGGGGCGGGTGGACGATTGAGAGACAAGAGGGTGTAAATGGTAACAACTAAAAATCAAAAGTAGATGAATTTGTGCAAATGGCCGTTACAACCGAAGTGAAGAGCTTGGCACCTTAGCCACTGCGGTGCCTGTATCAGATACACTTATTTACATCGCGGAGGCTAACGCTCCTTTGAATTCGAAGTGGAAAACACCACCATTCAGAGTGGCTGGCTATTATCGACTGAGCTATCCTGCGTCAACCTAACAGAGCTCTCAATGCTCACAAAGTGAAAAGTCGCCTGTTTCAAACCCGTCATTTTGCGGCCCCTGTTTGGCTCGTCTCTCGTCCATCAGCGCCACCCGGTAGTCCCGGGCTTCCTCCAGGGTCATGGCAACCGCGGGGATGTTATCAGACACCATCTGCTGTAGTTCAGCCGGTAATCTCGGCGCAAGCACCTGCTGAATCGCATCCCGTCTCTCGCGGGCCCAGGTCTCTTGCTGCGGTGGTACATTTGCAGTGGAGATGATGCGCCGATGTGGGTCCACCAAGAACAGCGCCAGGATCTTGCGATGGCCCGGCCGCGAGCGATCTGCTAGGCCAAAGGGTGACACCCGATGCTGCACTATATTGGGAAACGTAAGTAGTCGCCCTTCGCGACAGACCACGCTGCCAAGGTGCTGGGTGATCTGGGATTCCCCATTTCCGCTCACATCGGGACCAAAGCCATAGACTGCGTGGATGAATTCATGTCGATCTTGCTCGTAATCCACATCGTACAGAGACCCAGCCCGTTGACGGAAGGACAGCGTGCTTTCAGTGATGTTATGGCTGTCGTAATAGTAGATGGCTGTCGCACAGATGCGTTCATTCTAGTCCGAATATATGTTAGTGGATTCAAAAGATCCCCGTGACTCCCAGCAATTATAATGCTTACTAGCTGTCCCTCGAGATGCCATGATCCTCCCTCATAATCTGGCCGCTCCGGGGTGAGTTCAATGTTAGCCAGTTTTACGATCACTTGCAGCCCCGTCTCGTGGAAAGACTGTCGCAAGTGCACCCATCCTTTCCAGGCGGGCTCGGGGGGTCTGAAGCGGCCTGGCTCCGGAAGAGCAATGGGGCGAGCCTTTTCCCACGCATTATAGCGCTCTGAAAACTCCTCACTGTCCGAGTCCTCATCTTCCTCGGGCTTTGGTTCTGGGTCAGGGTGTAGCAGATAAGACACCCCGTGGTAGGGAATGCGCTCGTTTCCTTCCTCCCGAACCTGCGTCAAGCTGTGTTCCCAGAGCGGAATGGCGGCATCAATGATCTGCTCCACCACGCGGTAGAGGGGCTCATGCTCTTCCGGGTGCAGGTTGTTGATGTACGAGACAATGCGACAGCCACTTTCTGTGCCCAACTCCACATCGCAGGGCAGCCATTGAAATTGTCGGCTAAACGCGCGCATTTGCTCCATCTGCCATCTTCTGTGCGGAGTGTTTGCCTCGGCGGATGGCCTGGCCTCTTCCTCCGACGGAACGGGCACGACCACTCCTTGACCAATACTGCCGAGGCTGTTGTCCGACGTGATCAAACGATCGGGTAGAATGCGCGTGCGCCCGTAAACAAGTGGGAAGAGCGAAGGGTGAACGAGGTCGACAACTTTCTGGTCTGAGCCGGGGTGGTAGTCCTTTTCATGGGCTGGTATGTTCTCGAGGGGAGCAACGGCTTGCTGCAAGAGCTTTTGGAGCTCCTTCGAAACCGCTGTGTCGGAGCGGACGACCCCGACATCAAATATCGAAAGCAGTCCTTCTTTTTGAAGGTTTCGAGCTTTCCATTGGAGTTCTACGATGATATAGTCCATCATTTGGGAAGTCACGTCTTGACCGGATGCCAGCACCTCCGTCCGCCATCGTGACGTGATACCTTCGTCGAACACCTTTTCTGCATCAGCTGGATGGCAAGACTCAATGAACCGTTAGAAGTGGTCACACCTTACGCCACCATTCGGGCTTCTCCGAGATCGTATTCATGACCTGCATCATGGTTATTTCACGCTGAGTGCTAAGATGACTGCAGAGTACGCGGTTAGTTTCGCCCATTTTGCTGGCTGATACGTAGGAGTTGGGTGAGTCTTACCCAACGTAACCATCACTGATATCTCCATAGTCTAATGCGTTGGGGAAAAGCTCCGTTTCCTATGACGAACGAAGTGTTATGTTCTGCCCCGGGCACCATGTGGCGGGGATGACAGGTATTTACCTTGGGCTGCCAGTTCAAGGGAAGGTTGAATCCTGGCAGTTTGATAAGTGAACTAGGCTGCGAACCCATATTGGCCCCGTTTATTGTTTGCTTGATGTCTGACGGAGTGAGGGAGGGATACATATTGTATTATATAAAGTGAGTCACTAATCAGAAGGTCTAGGCAGCCGTCCCGTTAGGCAGACCTCGGCGACTAAGGCAACTAAGTCACTAGTGAGTAGTAGGTTGTTGCCTGTGCGCTAAAGAAACATGGTTGTGGCGTTAAGGTCACTTGTGTCTCGCGGTCCCACTCTATGCGAAAACAGCGCCGCGACTACATCAATGATCTATTCTGAATCGGGACAGTCCGTTATTGCATTATATTCATCGTGCCCGGCTATCGTGGATTGAGCTATGAGAAGACCATGGAAGAAATGCGGGAGATGGGCTGCGACTTCCGACGGAGCCTTGAGCCATGCAGCCAAGTCAGGTGTAACGTGCAGGAACCGAGTGAATAAACGCCATTCTGAGGGGGATTCCATGATAGCAAGATGTACCCTATTCTCGCATTGTGGAAGCGATGCGACCGCGGGGCTTGATGATTCTCTCCGTTGCCGGTGGCGTAGGACCCACGGCTGCACCGATACGAGGGGGGAATATCCTGGCGTTGTGCCAGAGTGTGGGCCGGCAAATGGTCGATTCAGCTCTCTGTAAATGCTCCAAAGTGGCCGGCAACGTGTTGTCAATGTTGTCAAACTCCTACAGAAATTAGGCGCTCTAGCCCGTCTCTTGCGCAGCATGCGAGAATCTGCCTCATGGACAGCAATAACGTGGTCGTCATACTGGAGTAGCTACCGCTGCAAAACGAGCCATTGTCGAAGGTTATATCAAAGACAGAAAGAATGGTGTTGCCTAGTTCAGTTGCCCTGACAGGTGGGTATACAATATTGGGCGACCGCAACTACGTGATGCTGGTCTATGAGCAATTTAGAAAAACAAGAACCGGAATCGCCGGCTGGCTCCCGACGTGGCTGTGGTTGGAGACACCGTCGCGACGGAGACACTGGACGATTCCTTGCTCGGGAGAGTGGCAGATGGGGAGCTGGTGCCGGTCACAGCTGGAACCGATGTCACCGTGATGACTGCAGAAGGACTGGGATAAACGGTGAAACTGGATGCCGTCGTCGTTTCCGGGCCGCCACCTGGGCCATCGCCGAAACCACTACCAGGGCCATCGTTTGAACCATTCCCGGAGTTGTCGCTCGAATCGCTGTCCCCATCCCCACCATCTGTGTTGTTGTTGTTGTTGTTGTTGTTGTTGTTGTCGCCGCCGTCAACGTCATCGCCCGTGATATAGGTCTGGTGAACGGACCAGAAGCCATTGCCTCCACCTACATGCGCCGCAATTTAAGCGTTAATGATACGAGGTACCTTAGAGTGATGGGTATGGAATGGCGACACTTACAATGATCCTCTGGAAATCCTGGGCAGTTGACATTGCACTCTGACTGGGAGACGAGGTTCGCGCTCGGAGGCAGCGAAGAGCCACAGTAGCAGTCAACGCTATTTGTGGTAGCAGCGTATCTCGCACCATTGCGACCGCAAGTACTTGTGCATAATCCCGTGGATTGAAATTGACTGGAGCCCTTGTTCACCAAGCTGCCGGAGGATGAGTAGCAGCCCACGAAACCGTTAGATAGAGCGTGCGCGGAAAGAGAGAGCGCCAAAATGGCGGAGAGGCTGGTAACCTTCATGTTTGGTAGCATAAAGAATGACTCGTGGGTGTTCCCCAGTAACAAAAGAGTGAATGCTGGTTTCGTGAGGAGAAAGGAGAAACAGAACGAGAGAATTGGCGGATGAGGCGGGTGTGAGAGAATAGCGAAATGCAACAGCCAAGTGTTTCAAGGGACTCATGAACGGCGGACCCTGAAAAGACCCTGCGATCCTGGTCCATCCTGTGGGTGAATTTTTGGCTCCCAAGCAGTCTGGGAAACACACTAACAGCACTAGCTTTGAAACCCGACGTATCAACGGCCTGCCCTGATCGGAGAAGACCCACGAGCCTCGGAGAAGTCTGCTTGAAGTTGGGTCGAAGAGCCCGAGTCGAGTTTGGCCTAAGGGTCCAGAATTTTCACTAAGTGGGAATGATGGCTTATCACTTCACGTATTGTTTACTCATGGAGACAACATCGCGCGAGGTACATCCTGTTATCGCGAGTTTCCAACTTACCCCTTTTGGAGTTCTTCCGAACCATGGGTTAGTCCCCACCGCTAGCCGGTCTCCCGCCGGCCTGACAGCAGGGGAAAATGAAGAGGAGTGATAGATGCGGAAGTGCACGACATCCGGCTACATTGAAGTAAATTATAGCAATCGTTCGTAGCATCAACGCTGCTCTTCTGTGAGAGACCTCTGGTCTTGCTAGGATCGAATAAGGAATAAGTACTGTTAAACATCTCTGGGTTAACGGGCAATGAGAGACCGTGCGGCCTTTTTAAGGGTCTACAGGACTTCATCGCTCCAGACCCATGCTTTGGACATCTGAATAAGCAGCATGACTGGTGGCCCAGAGGGCCTTCCGTTGGGAACCTTATGGTGATAATGATTTCTTGATGCCGGAAAGTGATACTGCTCTCGTACTTCTGAACCGTTCCGAGGCACCAGATTTTGAGGTCATTATGAGCGAGGAGGCCGGGATTTTACTCACATATAAAACCCAATCATAATACAAAGAGTTCAATTAAACAGCATCATTTACCGCACAATCGATACAAAATGCAGGATTTTAACCCAGATTGGCCATATATCAATGATGATGAGCGTTATGCATATCCACTGTATAAGAAGCATCCATTCTGCTACATTTGTTGCAACCGTCTTTCATGCCGCCCGTCAGAGTACTCTCCTAGTCGAGACGCCTACTCCAAGCCAAATGCTGGTAGAATCTCTCGTACTCAGCCCGTGAGAAAGATGATTTTTACACCTTCACTTTTCCTGGATGGCGCACCCTGTACCGGCTCAGTACGTATCCTCGGGCAGCAGAGATAAGCACCTTATTTGGTTCACTCTAATTTTTCCAGTCATGTTTAACCCTAAAACGCGATGCTACAGGATATCCGGGATCGCTCAGAATTACTATCCGTGTAGCACTTTCACGCTCCGTGGAATGAGAATAACGGGCTCCTGTCTGTCGGAAAACACAAGAGAATTTGACGCCATGGGCTGGCGGCACCTAAGCTAATTCAACCCAAGGCGAATATCGAGAAGCATACCACCCTGGCTGGATATATGGTGCACGCTATGTGCTGGAGAGAGCTGCTCCGGGTCATTAAATGGCCGCATACAGAAGAAAATCTAGGCATCCTCTCGCATGCGCTGTGAACACGCTGCATGAAGGAACGTTTAGATATCAGTTATATTGAGCCCCTGTAATTAGAGCAACTGATGGATCCTACAGGTGAGTATCCATCTACGCAATCTATGGTTTTGATGAGATAACACGCGAGACAATCCAGGTCCCATCGGTATGACATCCGTTCGACAATTTTTAAATCGATGCAGATCTAGAGCTACCAGGATGTCAAAGGTGAGTTATTCATCATCCTCTACTGATTCATGGCTCATCCGTCTTCCGAGGAGCTGTAATACATGATTATGGATCCGCTTGAATTTGACGATGTATGCTCGGTGCTGAAAGGCATCCATTAGTCAGTAGACAACGGATATTGGAAACGACGGCTTAATCTAGACCTGTTCAGCGAGATACGGGGCATTTTACATGCGGATTTGGACTGGCGTTGGCTCTGTTTGAGACTAGAGGTTCTTGAACACAGTCAATCGGGCACAGATAGAACGCGATTTCATGAAATCTTGAAGGAAATCGGGATTCGGTATGGACTAACCAAGGCTGGTGTGCAGTGTGGTCTTGTTGAAAGTCGCCCTCATACTCCATGAATGGAGGGGATGAATACCAATCACCCTCTTTGTTATTCTAGCCAGTGATCACCACCTGACACCACCAGAACCTGGTCATATTTTTGTATGCTACGAACTGTTGTCTTGGAACTCAGACTATTGCGAGGGAAAGCAATGCGCATCCGCAGTCACTTATATGGTAGCCGCGCTGGCAGCTGAATTTGTTTTCTTCCCACCGTGAGAACAGTGGTCTTTTTGCAATTGGAAAACCCCCCTATGGCTTGGCTGATAGTCAAAATGGAACAGTTCTGGAGGCAGTAATCCATGAAATTGAACTAGAGGCCCTCTTAGCCACGCAATAAAGTATCGGTGGCATCGTACCCGCCAGGAAGGCTGTTGTAACGCTTGGCAGCCAAGGGCTACGGTGGCCCATTACGACATGAGTATCTTCATTGACATTGGGTAAAGGCGTGTGCAGATTCCTTAATTCCTAGCGACAGTGCCACAGTTATCTTCTGTATCTCCCGCTTCTCCGACTATGAAAGGTCCGTCCGAAGATTGTTCCAATCAATCAGCTCACCCTTGGGAACGGTCAATTGACCTTGTTTTTGAGAATGGCATCCGTCACGAAGTCACACTTCTAGAGGGTGGTACGAAGAACATGAAGTATAGTATCCAAACAACTGGCCGTTCCGTGACAGTGAATGCTGATTATTGGAATCTCATCAGAGTCAAGGGTTTACCCTCAGCTAAAGTTCACTGCTCAAGACGTGGACGTTGCCTCAACTTTTGAACTACAGAATACGCCAGAGTAGAAAAATGGTGATTTTTTATTTTTGTGCTTCTATGCTTAATCCTAATTTTTACAATTGCACCTCCGGGGGACCATGGGTGGCGCGAGACCTGTTCCTCTTTATTCTTCCTTTTAACCAACTAACCCAGGTAGTTGTCGAGAACTAACAAAGACAACTCTTCGAACATACACCGATCGCCCAAAAAGCCACCAGAGCATTGAGCGCCTCAATAACCAGCTCCATAAACAGCAAGGACTGCAAACGCATACTCCACGTAAGAAACTATTCGGAACATACTTGGTTTGTGTGGAAGGCTCACGGCTTTCCGAAGATACCTCCGCATGCGCGAAAAACACCAGTCAGGGGCGAGGCTTGGCTGCATACACGATGTGACAGTCACTCCATACGAGACAAAAGCGCTGAATTTATGAATGGAGTATGGACTAACAATAATTGGAGTTTCTTTGAAGCCACCCACGAGCCAAGACACCACGCACCTATCAAGGAACCACTGCTGCTCCCTGATTTCCCCTTCCTCCGTCAACTTGCTCCTTGTGCAAAACCCCCCTTGCCCCTACGACAAAGATGAATTTGCGTACTCGAGACTGTCTTTTCTTGATCCTCTCTCTAGGCTTTGCTTACGGGCGGGCCTCTATCACTCCAGGCGTAACAGAAATCGACTTGATCTTTCCGCATAACGACAGCTATTCCCCCTCGCCTCTCACTCCGATCATATTTGCCATCCAAAACCCGAGACTCCTGTCAAGCTTCAACCCGACCATCTCCTACAGCATTGAACAGGAAAATGTTGAAGCCAAGGAAAGTTATACTACCTCAGGCCTGATCCACCTCGTGAACACCAATCATACGAGAAGTGACCCTTACTTTCTTTACTGGAGTGTCGGGAGTCTGGACATTGAAGGCACCTTCGTGTTTGCCTGGGAGCTTCAGATGTTCAACTGCTCCCATTCCCCGCAGAGTGACGCTTTGACCTTCGGATATCTTGACACGCTCCGCCACCAGTTTCACTTCTCCATGAAGAATGGCACTTTGCCACCAGACTTCGCCGCCGCAACCGCTGATAGTACGTGCGAGCAGTCTATAGCCCAGGCTGTACAAGTCCCAGAGTTGTTGGACGTGCCGCCTACGCGAACCTGGGGCGCACCATCCTGTGCACCAACTGTGGGTCCGTACCCAACCCCCAGCCCTTGCCAGGTCAAGATCGATTCCACAGCTGCTGCAAGTATCTCCTCAGCTTTGACTTCAAGTGCTTGCCGTAATCCTCTCCGCACCGGGCTCAGCTGCCCGACTCCATCCCCTGAGAGTAAGGCCCCCGCGACGCAATCGCCGGTCGGAGGGCTCCGGATCTTGGCAATGGGAATGCTTCTCGATTACAATCTTGCATGATTACGAGGCATGCTGATCTTCTCTTGGATGGATAACGCAAGCTGTTTAGAATCAATACAAAGTATTACAATATCCATTATGCCCTTTTCGGGATTCTAAACTATTTTACTCATAAATATAGCACAGAGGAGTCCCAGCCGTGGTATCCAGCACATCATAAATCTCCCGCGAGACCGTCAGGTTACCCATGTAAAGAAGGTCATGAATAGTAGCGTTGGGCGATGCAATTAGACCATCAATAAAGTCGGGTCCCTTGACGACGTATGTGCGGTTAGCAGGGTTCAGGTTCTGCCAGATCCAGAAGACGCGATCAATCATAGCGTGGTGGACATAGAATGCCGGATCACCGGGAGAAGTGTACAGATCCTGCAGAGTTGAGTTAGCTTTATTAGCTTCATCACATCGCAAGAGAAAAATATGCAACTTACACCACCCGGATCACCACCAATGGTGAAGTGACCGGCCGTGTGAACGCCCAGGAAACCTTCCTCGAAGAACCCTTGCATGGTCCACTCGAAGCAGGAGATGTTATCGCACTCCTCAATGAGGCTCATGACATCGCTAGTCTTGGTCCAGCCCAGAGCGGTCCAAGGAGAGATATCACGACGCAGGCAACGGGGGTTGTAATCCAAACCGCTGCCGTTCTGGGCTACAAGGCCAGGGATCTGCAGGGTAGGATCAACCGGTCCCAGGTTGACGGTCATGCTGATTATCCACATTTAGAATTCAATCCCAGAGTGAGCTAACGGAGAGGACTCTTACTTTGCGAAGGGGCCGTTGCGGACACAACCTCCACCCACACCCGGCGGGATGGTGGTATAGTCAGTCGCAGGGGTGCCGTTGTGGGGAACGAAGTCACCGTTACCAGACATACTGTACTCGGTGCCGTCAAAAACGGGCGAGTTGATGGGGTTGGCGGCGTACTTGTTCCATGCCCAGTATGGCTGGTAGCCGTCGTAGCCACACTCTGTACGCAGAGCATTCTCGTAGGCCCAGGTGAAGTAGCGGTGCCAGGTGAGGAAATTGCCCTAGGCAGTGATGTTAGCAGTGTTTCACTCGGTCTTGCTTGGCAGTCACTACACACCGTGCCGTGTATATACAGCGTCTGATTAATATGAACCGCCACGAAGTCATCAAAACGGTTGCGAACACCAGGAGCCCAGTTCGGGTCAGACTTGGGGGGCTTCGACATTAAGCAGAGGACAGCATCAGTGTACTTCTTGCGGTCCTCCGGCGCGAGGGAGCCCCTGTATGAGAGGTATTGTCAGCTTCGAAGCCAGAGAAATAGTCGATACCGGTGGCTTTTACCATTCCTTGCGAATGGCCGCATTGTTGATGTTGCAGCTGGAGTTGGTAGAGCCCTCAGCCGCCAGATAGGCACGCTTGGTGGCCAGGGCCTTGCTAGCCAGCACATCGACAGGATCTTGAGTAGCTGCAGACACAGGAGTGATAGTCAGGGCTGCAATAGCAGCAGATAGGAAGGAGAGACGCATCCTGCTTGTCTTTGCAACTCACTGGACCAGGGGAGGACTTGGTGTCAAGCTGAAGTCGTTCAAGAGGGACACCCGGTCCGCCTCGACCTCTATATACTGCTTTTCTCCCCACCACGTGCATAGCTGCAGGCCAATTCAACGGCTATCGGCCCATTTCGACGAGGTGCCATTCGGAAGTCGGAAGGCTAGCCCTTAGACGATTGGAGTAATAGATTGCACACGGTATGCGCGGTCTCGTCCATGGCTAGCAGTGTTTTTTCCTAAGGCGTGGTGGGGAAGGCTGAACAGTAGTGTAGTCTTGCAAGTTGGCCATTGGGCCGTTGAAATAAGGGTTAATATAATGAGCACGCTAGCAATTGGAGAAATTAGACTGCTGGCAGGTGTTAACAGTCTAGAATTGTGCCATCGATGCTAATCCGCTTCGTGGCGGACCGGCGCGTCTCTAAGCGAGGCCAAGTGGGGATTAAGGAGAGGGTTGGATGACCCACGACTGACAGGCTCAAAGGGGTTTATTTGGCTTTGCGGGGTGCATCGAATCATCACAACCATATACGCTGTTCAAGAAATCCTGATCTATAGTGCTGTGAATAGATATTGAAGCCAGGGTTATCTTTGCATGACAAGGATCCACCACCATCCTACGCGTGGCAACGGAGAAAACTGCCACACGAGACTTCGGATGTGGATACATCGTTTGAAACCGGCTTTGCTGCCAAGAGACCCCGTTGGAATCGGGGCAGCCGCCGGAAGAGGTCCGCGGAGCACTAGAGAACTAGTCGTGTAGTGGTGACTGGAGATTTGCTCTTGAGATGCTCCGTGAGAATCCCCACCGTCAAATATAGCGTCACCCGGTGGAGCTCGCCAATCTCCGACCCTCCGAACTGCCTCCGATTTCCCGCTGAGTTGCGTCCCTCGAATGTTCATTCTCTGGTCTGTGAGTCGGCTCCTTCCCCAGAGTGATCGTCGCGATCAGCTCCCTACCAGCGTCTTCCACCCGGGACTCCAGTGATAGGCAGTGTGAGCTTCTTGGCAGATCAGTGGCTTAAGAGAAGTGTTTCTCGCATCACTGCTATTCTGTAACCTTCGCAGTGAATTTTCTTAATTGTGCTACTATGCCGTGTGCAGAATCCCGGAAATTATTGCTTACTCCGTCAGCACCCAAACCCTCTGCGATGACACTAAATCCCGCGACACCCCTGCTAGTCGCCTGGAGATTTCGTAGCGTGGCTCCATTCTGACTTTTCTGAATCTTGACGTTTGGATAAATTAATCCATTACCCTTCCGCCCGAAACTCGGCGCTGATACGACTGGTGGGATGTCGTCCTCTCCATCCGAAATGTCAGGGGTATCCATTTGTAATAGACTCCCAGGAACCAAAGCCTCCTTCGAGACCCAGGCGCTATTTCTGCAAGTGCCAAGTCGGCCTTTGGAGGCTTCCACAGTTTTGTGCAGCGATGACAGATCTGTCGAAAGTAGAAAAGGCCGCTGCAAGGCATCCCCGACACGGGAACATGGTTGCGTCCAGCTCAGTCCGTCCTCCGTGACAGGGCCAGCAGTTCGCGGCCAGCATGAATCCTCTTCCCGGCAGAGCCGGTGACCCACGGCAGATACTTTGGCTTCGTGATGAGTCGGATGGCTCCAATGCCCCTGGAATTCTCGCGGCAGTTGGCACATTGACCGGCCTGTCAACATTGGTGCTGTGGCTCCGTTGCTATGTGCGAGGCTATCTCCTGCAACGATTCAACGCAGAAGAGTACATCATTACCGTAGCGTGGGTGAGTCATTTGTTCTATTCCATCGCTCATTCGAGTGCTTCCTAACTTACAGGTAAAATAGCTGTGCGCCGTTGGTGTGCTAGTCTGTTTTGTGCTGGAAGCTCAACACGGTGTGGGTCGCTTCAGCAAAGACATCACCGATGAAGATGAGCAAGTCTTGTCTAAGCTGGTATACTATCATTCAATTATTGTCATGGTCGGGCTTAGTCTTGTGAAAATTTCCTTAGCTGTATTCTTGCGCCGTTTCTCGTCAACTCTCTTAAGCAAGGCGCTAGTTGGATCGATCAGTGGGTGCACCTTCGCAAATGCTCAAGGCTATGTTCCGGGTGATAGCAATCTAATGAACGGCAGTTTTTCTGGTGGCATTTACCATTGCCTGTGGTCTTACGCTGATTCTACAATGCATTCCTGTAGCGGCAGCGTGGGATACAAGCTTGCAACCTCATGCCCGCTGTTTCGACAGTGATACATATACAGCTATTGGCCTCTGGAATAGTAGTAAGTTTGGCATCACCTCTTCGGATGTGCAATTTCACTTTTCAAGTTAATGTATCTTATCACTTGATTAGTTACGAACCTCGTCACCGATGTCATCTTTGCAACTTTGCCAATTCCCCTTTTCATAGGGATTCAGGTCAACTGGCGAACCAAGTTTTCGCTGATAGGAGTGTTGAGTCTTGGATACCTGTCAGTCATCCCTACTCTTTCTCCAATAGTGGTTACTGACCGTCGACTAGTGCCTGCGTCGCTGGAATTGTCAAGATCATTTCGCAGGTCAACGTACTAAAAGAGCAAAACATGTATCGGTAAGAGTTCCCGCGGGACTACCCGACAAAGAGTGCCAATTTCTGCAGCTAATCATCAAAGACACGATACTTTCATGATTTGGAACTGGTGGGTGACTCCTGAAGCGCAGACTCCGAAGAAAACTAACTTGTCATCTCTAGTGCCGAGCTAAATGTCGCTATTCTCGCCGCCTGCCTCCCTAGTCTCAAGCCTCTACTGAAACCGGTCCTCGATGGGACCCGCAGCCTGACCACGGGGCGCCGCAATACCTCTGCCTACCGCTACGACACCCAGGGATATTATGTTCAGCGCAGCACCGACATTGCCATGAAGTCAATGCCCCGAGTACCACCGACTGTCTACGATATCACAGCTGCAGGAAGCTCCGACGGCGAATCCGGGAACTGGAGAGAGAGTGACGAGCAGAGGCTGCATCGGACTGAGACCGGCATCATGAAAACGACGGAAGTGGTGATTCAGACACATGGAGACTAATGTTGTTTCATTTGCATATTCCGGCCTTCTGAATATTACCCGGTTTACATTCGGCTTCTTGGATCCTTATTCAAGCCCTACTCCATGTGTACTGGTAAACACCAGTCTAACATTTTGCAAGCACAAGTCTCAGTAGCAACTCGAAAGCTCGACGTATAAGAAGATTCAACTGAACAATAAATCTCGTCTCTCATGTGTCGCCAACCGATTACCGGCACTAACTATCATATAATTTCAACTCTAAACCTAAAGGGCGGCTACCCTGGAGCAGTACTCTCATTGAACGACAATAACGATATTGATTCTTTTTCGCCTCGTGTCATAATAATGACACTTATTGGAGGTGAAGTCATCGGTCGGCAGTAAAACTCTTGCAGCAAGTTTCGCAACCAACCGCAGCCCTCCAGCCAGATTATAGAGGGCCGCCTCGAATATGAGGTGCTTGCCATCGCGTAATCATTGATTTGAGTGTACCTTCTGAAGGCGCCGCAAGTAAGACTATATATTGTGTTTATCTTGCGGATAAATAAAGCTTGTATCAATGGTAAACAGCAATTTTCAAGACATCGTAGGCCGTTGACGTAGGTTCCTGGGAAGTTATAGCCAGTTATAAACCATATACTTGGAGAAGGAGGAGAAGGAAAAGTGAAATAAAAATCCAAAGAAAAGTTAAGATTTTGTAAGAAGTTTTGAAAAATTACTTATATTAGAATCTTAATATCTATTAAAATCTATATATCGAGTTAGTAAGAGACATAGCTGATATAATCGAAAATAAGATTAAAGGGAAAAAAAAAGAAAAAAAAAAAAAAAAAAAAAAAAAAAAAAAAAAAAAAAACAGATGGAAAAAGAAAATTTCAGATAGTAACTTAAGAGCCGTTATTATAACTGGGTTATTATATGCCACTTTTGTGTAGTCTTAATGATCGTAAATAACTTCTGTTGATTTATTCACAATACGGGATTACTTTTAAAAACCATTAATTATATATGTATTATCCTCATGATGTTCCCGCTGGGGCCGCTATGGAATCTGACTCTAGAGAATATATGTTGAACTGTAAAAAGGAGCAATGGTGCTTTCACGGGGTGGCATAAATGTTGTTACTCGGAGCCCTTTCCTAACCGCGACAATGGCACTTAACAGACTACGATAGAGACAAAACATTGCAAAGACCGGACTGTTGTCCGTCTTACATTCCAAATGTAAAATAACAGAAATAAGCACATACTTTTGCACATTTTTGTGTAAATAATTAGAACTCCATTCAAATACGAAAGATATGAAGCCGATGTTATGATAAGAAGGCCCCAGTGGGAATTATCCACTGAATAAAACCTCTCCTAGACCTACTAATAAGGTATCGCTTCTGGGGACAACGATTAGTGGTTGTGGTGGGCGTGGCGACGGTGTACATGAGAGGCTTGAGCCGCCAATGGTGTAGTAGTAGCGTCACTTTCGAAGTTCGTATATTGATGTAGAGTATGCTGCGGTAATTTTAGTTCGGTCAGTAAAATTAGTCTAAAGGTCCAGGCACACGATATAGAAGAGCAAGAAATATCATACCACGGATGAGAGCCGAACTGAAGATGGAGTAGGAGAAGATGAAGGATAGATGCTGGTATGAGGGAAGACAGACTTCTTTGTCTCACGTGCTTCTTCTGCTTCTGCTCCTTCTTTTTCTACCACACAGAATCCAGAGACGAAGAGTGGGTTCGACGAGTGGAAGACAGGTTGGTCGCGATACAAATGACATTCTTGTCCAGAAGTAGAGTACAGCCATGCTTGGCACTGAACTAATTCCGCACAGCGATCAGCGCATGCAGCAGTGTTTTTGACGCCATATGAGAAGCTCATCGGAGCATGACTGAAGAAAGTGATCGTGTTGACAATTGAGTGCCTACAGGCAGTTGTTGAGGACGACTGCGGCGGTGCTGATGTCCATGCGGATGCTCTCGTAGAGCGCAAAGCAGTTGAAGTTGAGAGGGCGAGGAGCATGATTGAATATTTAGGAATGAAACGGTGCGACAGCGATAACAGAGCAAGATCCTGTGATTATACTGTGACAGAAAGACAGAGAGGCTCTCATATAAGAAGTGGAAGATTACGAAAGGTGCAAATAAGGGGGGATGAAACATGGCCCTGTCAGAGACTCGCAGGGCCATCGTAGTCTTGCTAGAGAACTCGGCCATATACCGACCGAACGTAAATGGAAGGAACTACAAGGGCGAAAAGGGCCCGAGAAGCTTGCTAAGATTCATTGAGCTAGAGAAGTTGCTAATTGGTTCTCCACCTACTTCTAACTCAAGGTCTCAATGAAATGTAGGATTGGGAGGATATTTCGGCCACTTAGTGTGGACTTGAGGACTGGTGATGTTTTGGGTCAATGGTCTGTAGTGTATTTTACAACGGCGGGTCATTTAGTCTTCCAATAGTGGCACGTCGGACCCTTGGACCGCATATCGGATGGCCCCGCACCCTAAGGGAGTAAAGCAGGGGAGAAAAATCTACCCCGGCAATAGCCAAAAGTTGGACTTTGAGCGCTGAGCTAGCACGACGGGGGAATGAACAAAACGAGTACGAAGAGAAGGACAGGGACTCGCGTTCAAGAGTCAACCAAGTGAATGTCCCTCTTAAGTTGCCGAAACACAAACATACTTCCTCCGATTAATTTAGTCCTCACTGAGTTGAGACCATTTCCTCATCGCAATAATGGACGCCCTTAACAAAATTCCCTATGAGCTTCTATCCATTATCAATTCATATGCAGCGGACTGGGTTGGCTTTGAAAGTCTTTTGGAAGTCTCTCCACAGTTAAAGGAGCTTTTCAGTGATGACTCAGACACCAAGGCGGATATTGAAGCTGTAGGCCTGGTGGAATTGATCCTTCAGCAGAACCCTGTTATGCGCTATGAATTGCATTCACTGTTTCGGATGGTTCTAAAGCTTCGCCAACTTTCCATGGCAAATGTCAGTCTTGCTGAGTTCATGGATCAGGATCACTCTTCGTCGTTGATGGTCTCCTGTCCTTCAATCTCCCGAGCCAAGCTCAAGGAGCTGGTGGGTATTGCGGCCAATATCCAAAGGCTTGCGTGTGCCTGTTTGACAACGTTTCTTCATCGTGTTCGAATGGTTCAGCCACGGTGTTGGGTGGAGGACAAAGAAGAAGGCACTGAGCCATATCAGCCGCGTGAGGCTGGCCCTTCATCGTGGATCGAAGAGTATCGAGTCTATCGTGCGCTGTGGCACCTGCAACTGTATTCCGACCTCTCTATCGCTGGGCGGCGATTTAACTGGCCTCAATGTGATCTCGAGGACTGGCGGTTCGAACAGATGAAGTGGGATCAAGTACCCGTTGTGCTTGGAGAAGAAGTCCGTACGATACCGGAATGCCTGGAGGCTTTGGACGGAGTCTGTCCTACCCTCCACACTACAAAGGGTATGGCGACTAGATTTTACAACGAGAAGCACCATTTCGAGATACAACTTATATCTCAGCTGCCTAATGCACGGCAATTGAGGCATGAATTTGACACTTCGGCCCCTCCATCTCCCCCCAAAATTGCTGACGCTGAGGAGACTTCCCGTATGGATATTTGGGGCCAGGGGGTTACATCAATCCACCGTAACCGAATGGCCACTACCTTCCGAGTCTGCCAGCTTCGGACAAGTACCCATCCCGCTAGGCATCAAGTCTGCCAACTTCAGGACTCCCGTCCTTGGCGGGAACTAGGTATGCCAATCTGGGACCTCTGGCGTTGTTACTGTTTGGGACTATACGCAGCTAAATATCCCCGTGGAAGACACCGTGGTCCTATTCCGGCTCCTGACGGGTCATCAGTTCCTGAGGGCTGTTCTCCCGCTGACTGTGGATTCGAAATCGATTACCGGATTTCGGTTTTTCTACATGCGCGGATGCAGATGGAGGACAAGAAACGAAAGGGTATGGTATCAAAATAAGAGACTTGATCAACCATTAGATAATATCAGATTGCACTTTATCAACCTCGCAGGCACCTCTTTATATCTGTGTGCGGCTCAAATGTCTAACTAGCTTTGTATATAATCACGTACTGAATTGGAACATCATGTGGTACCAAGGCTCCGCATTCTCATGTGCATCTAATCCTGAGGTCGTCCAAGCTATGACCGAGACTGGCGTTTTCCTGCTCAACTGCTGCTTATGATCTATGAGAAGCCAAGCAGCCCCTCCACCATTTGGTGTCCCCAGCAAAGCCAATCCATTCTGATTGATCAGTACCCCACCTTTCTTCTTCTGGTATATGTCAAAAGTCGTACCGGGCCACGAGGGACATGGGCCACCGCACACAGCTTGCAGGATATTCAATGTGTCACTATTGACAATGTGTGTCCGGACGACGTATTTCAGTTTGTTCACAGGGCTGCCGGTTGACTTGGCCATAGCTGCATGATTAAGCCAGACAATATCGGACCATTTCTCAACCGGACAGTGTCGGCCAGAAATGGATACGGGACTTTCATTGTTTTCTGCGATTATCAACCCGGCTGTGGGGCTCATAACGTTGATGTAGAAGGCTTGGGTTGCCTATACCAGAACAGTCAGATATATGAGTTATTTCGCCACAGAGCCCCGGCCTGTTTTGCGTCGGAGGAAATGGTATTCTCACCTCGTGATCGGTCCTAGTGGTACGACCACCGGCGACAATCTCAGTCTCCCAATCCTCACTCTGTGACCAGATTTGTGGTATCAAATTGCCGTCTGTTCATGCATAGTAATATATGCAGCACACTCAAGCCAATTGGAGATGTTCCGTCCTGTCTTGGCAGAGGAGAGATTGCGTATACCGTCAGAGGTCGGATTGATAACCTTATTCGGCTCCACAAGATGCTCCCGATCGACATTAACAAGAACTGTGAGGAGCACAAGTTGTTTGTCCACGTGTAGCTTCCATGGTACTCTATGTTTTTGTTGTAAACCCCGCCAAAGCATTAGAGACAATCCGACAGATTAATTGTCCCCCACTGGAGTGCTCATTGATAGGGTTGGGGAAGTTACAGCTCCCGCAGAGGACTAATCCATCACGATGCCATAAACGGCTCCACACTTCCTGAGCAATTACCAAGGATGGTGACGTGGGCGACAGCTTCACGGACCTTCCAGTTTGGACGGCGGGTTAGATAAATAGGCCTGTAGGTACACTCGATGTACCTTGAAGGGCAGCTCCAATTTGAGTCATTTGTGATCGTCGTGTTGTCTTCTTCCAATTTCCTGCATAATGGCATCTATTCGACTTCTGTTGGCCTTTCTGCCGCTGGCCTTAGCCACAATCACCGTTTTGGATCCCAGCGACTACGCCGATCTGGCTGCCGACGCAACCGATAATACCTTGGAAGCCGACTATACCACGGACAATGGCGGGCCACAATACCTTCTGTACAATATCACAGGCCCCTACTACTATAGCGACGAGGATGGCGAAATTGACCACCAAACCTTGACGGTGGATGCGAACGATACCAGTGTCCTCGTCGTGACAGAAGGATCGGCAGTTAATGTGTCGTATACTGATGTCATCAAGAAAGGCTACTCAACCTGGCTCAATCAGGCCAGTTTCTTTGGGGTCAATGCGGCCATCAATGTAGCCAACGCCTCGACAGCCTACATTGACCACAGCAACATCACCGTCCACAATGGTGCGGCCAACATTTATGCCTATGGGACGGGGACCACCGTGTACGTGAGCAACACCGACCTGTACAGTTCTGGTCCGGTGTCCCACGGTCTCTATGCCGCCGGCAACGGGACCGTCTATGCCTCCAATCTGCGACACTATTCAGGCGGGAAACGCTCATCCTCCTTCTCGGGTGACAGCCCCGGTGGGTACATCTATGTCACCGATGCCATCGCTCACACAGCCGGGGTTGGCAGCGCCATCTTCTACACTCTTGGTGACAGCTATGGCAAAGATGTTGTTGGAAAGTCCGAGAATGGACCGAGCCTGTTCTCTGACGGAGCGCAAAGCTCTGTCTTCGAAAACGTCGATTTCACCGCTGGCCTTTTGGCAGGGACGGTCATGTTCTCGTCCTCTACGCGCAGCAGCGGGGCATCCCTGTCATTCTCGAACTCTCGACTCACTACACTGGGAGAGGATATGGCAGCGCTATGGTTTGGGAATCTGATTGCATCAGCCACGCTGCATGCGACCGAGCTGAATACCACTTCGGGTATTCTCGTGATTGCCAACGCCTCCCAGATCACTCAATCCTTCGATCACTTCGTCGGCTGGGAAGAGAATTCGAGCATCCAGCCTGCGCAAGCTACAGTGACGGTCACTGAGTCCACACTGAGCGGCGACATCGTGGCCTACAACGGCAGTTCCATCTCTTGGAGCCTGGCTGAATATTCGAGCTGGACGGGAACGGCCTCCACCGGCCGAGGGACTGCATACTTGGCAGTGGCACTCGACAAGACGTCCACCTGGACGCTGACGAAGAATGTCTACCTCCAGAACTTCACCAATGCCGATACCACTAACAGCAACATTGCGAGTCAGGGATACAGTATCTATTACAATGCATCCTCCTCTGCAAATGCGTGGATCAAGTCCGCAAACACAACCCTCCCTGGTGGTGGGAGTCTGCAATCGTATTAGGAAGGTTACTGGGCTCCGACTGATGGTTAGTGTGCTTTGGGGGTAGGCACGACAGACCACATTTTGTGATCAAAAGGTTTGACGGTTATCACAATTGATGGAAGATGTAGCTAGTGGTGAATAGTCATAACTTTACCAAGGATGTCAGTCTTGGTTATCCAATGAAGTTGAGTTCTAAAGTGAAAACGTGTGATAACGTCTGCAGATGCCCGGTGCGGGCTGGACGAGAATAGACCTTTAGTTTCAGAGGCAGTCCCCCTGTGTCTTGTGATATGTTACCTATCTATTACTTGAGTTTTCTTTCATCGTAAGCCGGAGCTGTAGCTCGGCCCGACGTCCAAGCAAGCCGCAGGATTGGGCTAGATTGCAGTGGCGTTGGTTTCCCAAACCTCCAGCCGTACTAATAGACTTCATGTGAAAGTAGCCACGAAACCATACTACGCAAGCTGTGATAATAGACGATTTGAATCTTATCTGGCCGACACATCGTTGCCGTCGTGGGCAGCCGATCCCATACAGGTCGCTCCCTGGTGCGTGGGACTCAGAAGCCGGAAGAAGATCGACACCGTGCTGAAAGGCCACTCATTCTGGGGTCTGAACAGCTACCAGGGTCATAAGTAGTTACCGGATTGCCCTCCTCTTTTTCAATGCGGACAGAAAGGGGGAGGTGACATTGCAAACCGAAATGAACTGGCCGCACCCGAGATCTCCCCCACAACCCTATTCTTCTTACCCCGGATTTTGACTCCACATCCCTTGACAGTCCACGTCGATCATTTGGCCTCTGACATCTGCACGAGCCACGAGCCAAGTGAGGGGCCCAGCCCGCAGCTTATAAGGAGCTTGGCCAGGAGGATCTCCTCAGTATCCCCACCCACTACATTACTCACCCGACTATTGTGAGGAGACGACATCACTTCATGGCGATCGGAGACCCTAAGTCCTCGGTTGGGACGATGCAGAAGATTATGGATGAGGATAGCCATCCTCATCGTTCGTTGGGCCATGTTCGCCTGCGCCATCATGAAACCAACGAGGTTATTCTGGTCCCTACTCCGTCGGATGACCCAAACGATCCACTACAATGGTATGTACAATGCTCTCCCTAGCACATAGTTCGTCGCTGATATCTTCCGCTAGGTCTACCTCGTACAAGATCTACATTGCCATTCTTGTCTCTCTGGCCATGGTGATGTGCAACTTCATGTCCGCCGGTCCGACCGTCGCCATGGTGGATGTCGCGGCAGATTTCAACTCCAGTGTGTCTCGCGCAGCCTACTTCTTCAACAACAGTGCGCTGCTGCAGGGCGTCTCCAACTTGATCTGGGTTCCACTCCTCAATAAGTATGGTCGGCGGCCTATCTACATATCAGCATACCTACTCTACTTCTTCATGATTCTGGGAGCCGGGTTGGCAAAAACCTATGCCGGTGAGCTTACCACCCGTACCATCCTGGGTGTCGGTGCAGGGGCAGGAGAGTGTCTGGCCCCGGTCACCATTGCCGACGTCTTCTATCTCCACCAGCGCGGTTATGGCATGGCGTAAGTGAACGATGTAAATCAATATGCAAGCTCTGAAACTGATTCTCCTCCGCTCACTAGAATCTATAACTCCGCCTTGAGCGCGGGTGTCTCCTTTGGTATTATCGTTTCTGGCCTGGTGACGATCAATCACTCCTGGCGTGTGATATACTGGGTCGGCTGCGGACTTGTCGGTGCTCTGTGGATTGTGGTTGTCTTCTTCTTCCCGGAGACCGCGTTTCGTCGAACAGACAATGCGGATGATCTTTACAACACGCAGAAGCATGCCGAGCATGTTGAGTCCCGGGGAGAAGAGAGACTTTCACGCAGACAGAGCTATCTGCAGAGTCTGCGCTTTTGGTCCGGTCAGACATACACAGACGAATCCCTGTGGCGGATGTTCATCCGACCTTTCGGTCTCATTCTGCTGCCTCCGATCTTCTGGGCGACCATCGTCATGTCCGTGACAATCGGCTTCCTCGTGGCGGTCACATCAAACTTTGCCACTGCCTTTAGCGAAACGTATGGGTTTGCTGCCTGGCAGAGTGGGTTATGCTTCATTGCGGGCATGCTGGGCTGTTTCTTCGGTACCTTTGCGGGAGGGCCCTTTTCTGACTGGGTGGCCGACTATCTCACCAAGCGCAATGGTGGTATTCGAGAGCCGGAAATGCGTCTGCCCGCTATTATTCCTAGTGTGATCGCCGCTCCATTGGCGCTGCTGCTGTATGGCTTTGGCATCGATCGCGCCTGGCACTGGATTGTGCCAACGATTGGTCTTGGTTTATGTATATCACCCCCGTCGCCTCTATGACATTAACCCTTGCTAATGCAATTACACAGTATCATTTGCCATCAGTCAAGGGACAAATGTCTCGTTCGTGTATTGTGTTGACGCTTACCGACCGGTGGCTGGTGAAGTCGCCGTCACTCAGCTGGCTTTCAAATGTAGGACCCATCCTTCTTTTCTCTATGTTGAGGTAATCATATCACTGACAGCTCAATAAGCTTGCTTTGGGTTCCTGCTATCCTTCTACACTAACCCCTGGATCGCCGAATCTGGCTATGCGGCCGCCTTTGGCGCCATGGCGGGCATCTCGGGGGGCTGTCTGCTGTTCTTCATCCCGTTGTATTTGTGGGGACGGCATATTCGCATGGCATCGATGAAGTGGCCCTTTGTTCAATTTGTGTTCTGGAAGGATGATCGGGAGGTGGGAGAGTAAGGTGCCAAGTTGGAGAAATTTGAGGAGTGAATATGGCCTTTCTTTGCTTCCAGACGGATGAAGCAGTTGTAGCGCCTTCAATCATGTGTTTGCTTCGACCATTCTTCCCTGAACATTATACTATCATATTCTACCCTATAGTCTGTGACCATCATAATCAAAACAATTTTCTAATGGACGCTATACGTTACTTAAACAGCCAGAAAATCCCTTGCTACGTTTGGAGCTCAGCCTATTCCACGAGCATTATGGGTCAGGCCAATCTGTGGACAGATCCCAGTCTTTCTACGCACAAGCCCTCCACCAGGCCCACGCCCCAAATCCCACACATGTAATCCAGTGTCCAAAGGCCTTGGTCTTGAGCGCCTCGCCCCCGTTCGCCCAGACAACGAATCCATCGGCAAGTCCAACCAGCGCGCAGACGCCGGCAAATATGGTAACGGCAGTTTCCTGACCGTAGTACTGCAGGGCAAGCAGTGTCAGACCGTAGCTCGTCTCGCGAATGCCCTTGATGTACATGAGGGGAGAAACTGCGCCGGGTGGAGGGGTGCGTTTGTTGCCATGGGTCGAAGCGGAAGAAGCGGCGGGTTCGAAGGGTAAGCCGAAACGCGGATACTCGGGGCCAGGGCGAGCCAGCGCATGGCAGCCCAGGGCGAGGGTTAAGCTACCCAGGATGTAGGCCGGGAGAGGACTGAAGGTGGTCATGTCGATTGCCGGTTTGGAAAAGGTCACGATCAATGGGTATATTTCTCGGAGTCTAAAACGCTCATCGAGCGGGTCAGTTTGTTTCCACTGCGGAGAGATTGATTTGGCCGAGGGGAAAGAGGAATATTGTGGCTGGAATGACACTTGGTGACCCACCTTCGCGCCGGGAAGTGAGCGTTTAATCTCCGTGGTAGGCACAACACTCCAACCGTGGACTATGAGGGTTAATTCAGAGCACAGCTGACCGTCACTGGTGAATGCTTGACCCCGGAGGAGATGGGGAAAAGAAAGAGAAAGACTTTCCTCACCATGTTGGAGCTGGTGAGACCTAGACAGTAGTACTTAGTAGGGTAAGTGCACTGGACTGGGAACACAAAGCAGCCTGCCAGCTGACAGAACCAATCCCAGTTAGGATTAGTGCTGATTTCCGTAACCATTATAGAGTTGTGATTGGTGGGAATCGGCGGCGCATCCCGCTCTCCTGCCTGTAAGCCTCAGGCATGAAGAACAATACCCCCTTCAACATAGTATTATTTCAACATCAGTGAAGCTAATGATGAGCGAAAACCGTAGACGCTGCTATATTACCAAGCTCCAACCAGCACTACTGTCACGAGTACTACTAGTAAGGTTGAGAACCCCCTCCCTCTAGGAGCCAACACTACTAGCAACAGTATATATATCGAGCTTTACAGTACAGCTACTGATAAGCACAGTATCTGTACTCATTCATGATTAGTTACTGTACAATTGAATGCTAGGATCCCTCGATGGTGAAGTTACTACCACTACTGCTACTTTGGTATAACCCGTATGCGGGATATCCAAATCCGGAAGGAGATTGGAGAGCCGAGGCAAACATCACGTGCCCAAGTGACCATCTTTCCCATTTTGGCTGGTTGTTACAAAGTACTTAGTACTCGTTCGTACTATTTCACTAACTATTAAATTACCGGGCATCTACTGTGAAGATTTTCATCATGTTGGAGATCTGGGGATCAGAGATCCCATTTTCATTTCATTAAGTACAGTACTCAAGCAAATAACCATCAATCTTGATAACAATACTAACAACAAACATTTCAACGCCTTAAGTCATATCACTCCATCATGGAAGAAATACGATTGTGTCTTCCAGAAAGAAAGAGAAAGTCTTCACTGCACATCCACACGCGTCACCATCACCACGTCCGTTTCCACCTTGGGCAACTTGATGTTCAACACTCCGTTTTCCATCTCAGCCGTGATGCCTTCGACAAGCACCTCCACGGGCTGGAACACACTGCCCAACCGCACCTGGCGATCGAAAGTCCCCACGCGACGTTCATCCAACGCCAATGTCTTCAGCAATTCCTCATCGCCAGGGCGCTCAATCGTTCCGCTGACATTCAGCTCGAACTTCTTCGGGTCCCACTTTACTTCCACCGCTTCCTTCTTCGCTCCGGGCAGCGAAACATGCACTAGAAAGGCCTCGGTAGTGTCGAATACATCCACCTCGGGGTGGAAAAAGTCGCCGCGCTTGTGATGCTTGCCGTGACGATGGTGGCCGAACTCCTTGAATCCAAATGGGCCAAAGCCACGGTGCGGTCCGCCGCGACCACCATGCTTGAAGCCACCGCGCATGTGTCGACCCCCGTAGGGTCCAAACCGACCATGCGGCCCATGGCTGAAACCGCCATGGGGGCCAAATCCACCGTGGGGTCCCTGAAAATCAGCTCCCCAAGCTCCAAATGCTCCGGGATGAGGGGGGTGGTCGAATTTTCCCCATGGACCGCGCCCGTGGCGACCAGGTCCATGACGGCCCTTGCCGCCTTTGGCGTGGAAACCACCGTGGCGACCGTGACGCTTGCATTTCCGGGGTTCGTCATGGTCTTCCTCGTCGGAGGAGGAAGAGGAGGGTTCGTCATCTTCGGCAGTCTCGGTCTGGGTAGGTTCTTCGTCTTCAGTCACAGGCTCTCCGCGGCGGTGGCGGCGGTGGTGAGGGCCATGGCGGCCGCGATGGGGCAGATCAAAGTCTGCAGCACCAGCAAAGTGTTCGCCATGTGGCATGTGGTTGTGGTTGTGACCGGCGAAGAAGGGGTGAGCAAAGCTTGGTTCTTCCATGCTGGCGACGACTTCCCAGTAGGGAGGGAGTTGATTGAGATCACGGATGTTGGCCATGTTGATTCTTGTGTGGTGCTTGTTGTGGTTTGGGTTTGTATGATGATATTATGAGGTTTTAGCTAAAACTGGAGTGTCGGATTGTGTAAAGAGGAGGAGAAGGTAATGATGAGAGGGTATAGAATGAGGGATTGGAATGATTGTAGTGATGAAGGGAACGATGTCAAGGTAAGCTGTCCGCCTTTATATAAATCCTGTTTCAGGCATCCATGATAGCTAGTCTACATGATCTACGCCACAGACTTTGATAGTCGTCGTAATCCTACTTCCTCGATTGGCGTCGCCACAGTTCGGAGATTAGCATATGCCGACTCGGATATCCTAATGCCCTTCGGGCTTTTCCCAATACGTCACCTCTACTAACCCGATGGGGTATGTGCTGATGAGTCATTTTTCGGTCTTGCGGAGCTAGTTGCCCAGTTAAGCTGCCGGAGCTCTAAGTCCGATGGTAAATTGCTGCGCCATAGCCACAGCCACAGCCTTATCCCCGCAGTCTGAGCCTCGCTGTCTCTGCCGGTGGCGCTTCATGTGCAAAGGATTGAAGCTCATCATGGCTCCATTGGACCAGACCTTGCTTTTTGCCCCATGAGTCATGAGCTACACAGGTGTTTTATGCTAAGTCAAGCATCTGACGCTGCGGTTTTCAACGTGGCGCCGTCGAGACCACTCTCTTCGGGTGGTTCCTCTCCGACTGGTCGGCGGACTAGGCTACACCCCAACCCTGCCATGGCTGATGGGGCCTTCAGCCTTGTCGGTGGTTCTGTTCGGGCTGTTCAGGTCCCGAGCTGCCGGTCAGTCATCTTTGCATCGTCATATTTTGCAGAACAGCTATGCGCTCTGGTGTCAGGACATACTTTCGATATGGCCTGTTAGTTACAAACACTGTAAGTAAGAGCAAGCCAGTTTGACCCATTGAGCGACCGGCTCAGAAATTGTGACCAGCGATTTACGCTTCAATTATTACTTATTAACGCTGTCGGCAAAAGTAAGATGTGTTGGCTACACTGCAAATCGAGCAGGGTGGGCCTGGTATTGAGAACGTCGTATACGATGTCTCTGACCCTCAATACCGATAAGGTATGTGGGTAAGTAGTGATCCTTTTGAGGATGACAGTCCTCATTGATTGAAGCAAATTACGAAACTATAGTCATCCAATAGGCTACAATTTTTCCCTTGGTATGGACACCATATCAACCCTGGCAATTTATACTGTCCCCAACCAATTTCCATATTTACGCCTACGACTGTATCCATTAGGGTGAGAGGGAGGATAAGCTAGGATTCTTCAGTCATTGAGTAGTACTAATACGCTATCTTGCATGACGTGCGAGTAAGCACTTCGCCCAAAGTGGATGTGCCGATGATGCCAGAGAGATAACCAACTCACATGAACCTGCTGCCTATCAGTATAGGTTATGATAATCACATTTCTCGCAGCCAGATTCAGGTGGTGAGATATTGTTGGTTCTATCAATTATATTGTCCTCCAACGACACCAGGGCGATCGGATAAAAGCCACAGAGGGCATGGATGAATGGAACGTCCTAACTGCAACGGCAACGCAGCTTAGCCAATTGCTGTATTGGGGCGACACTACTAGTGTGGATATCGTCAAGGCCTACCTCGCTCAAATCGACCGGCACAATAGAGCTGGCTTGAACCTGCATTCGTCAATGCCGAAGCTGCTCTTGCTCAAGCAGCAGCCCGCGACGATGAAAGATCTCAGGGCAAGACCCGCAGTCCACTTCATGGAATTCCGATTATCATAAAATATGCGATCATCACGTCCGAGTCCCTAGGTTTACCTACCACGGTCGGCGCCGCTGCGTTCAAAGACACATATGGACGGAAGAACGCATGCATCATAGATATACTCCTAGACCACGGCGTGATCATTTTCGTCAAAGCCAGTCTAACGGAATTCTGCGGCCTGAAGGCGACGTGCATGACCGCCGGTTGGTCAGCAGTAAATGGACAAACTCGGTCCGCTTATATCAAGGGTGGTTTTCGATCGGACGACCTGTTCATCGGTCGCTCTGGACCGGGAGGCTCCTCGTCCGGGTCTGCAGTGGGTGTTTCAGCCGGCTGTGCGCCGTTATCGCTGGGGACGGAAACTTCGGGTTCAGTCTGCATGCCGGCAAATCGGGCGGGATTGTACTCTATCATTGCCACTCGCGGGAGTGTCCCAATGGACGGAATTTTTCGCTTAAGCAAAGACTTTGATAAGTTGGGTGCTATGGCCAAGTGTCCCCGAAGACCTGGGTCTGTTGATGCCACTGCTCAATGGCACGCGCTTGGTGTCTGCAAAGTGGAGCGACGTCTCGGTCGGATTTGTCGATCCAATTGTATGGGATGCGTTTGGATTCCAAAAGAGCCAGGACAAATATGTGGAAAGTCAAATTGTGAGTCCCCTTTTACTCTACGGTTCAGGCGGGCCATACCTGATGCCTGATAGCTTGATGGGTACGAATGGGCAAGAGAGCGCAAATAACTCTCCGAGGAGGCCGGGTTGTCTACCCCGTAGATTTGCCGACAATGGAGGGCCTTCGCTTTGAAGGCAAAAGCGTAAACTATACTGTTGCATGTACGTTTATCGCGCCCCCCCCCCGAATGGTTGTCGATGATGGCTCACGAATATTACAGTTCATGCATTTCCAAGGCTTTTTGAAGAGTATTGCTCGCCCCTAGTAGACCCCAAGGTCACATCAGTTCCGGATTGATCCAATACAACGGAGAACATGCATCTTCTGCCATGCCGCAGCGTAAGTGATTTCACCACATCTTTAAAAGCCCGAATACTCATATTTTGTAGCACATACAGATCAAAATGACCTCGAGGAGACCCTCAAATCAACATTGACAGAAGAGAAAGCTACGGCAGCCAAGGCCTACGCTCAACACTTGGCCGGTCCCGACGGCATCGATGCGACACTGCAGGAAAATCATATTAACCTGATAATTGGGCCAGGTGATTGTGCAATTTGTGCAGTGGCGGCTCTTGCGGGTTATCCCACTGCCATGGTTCCACTTGATCGCTTGGAAGGTCCTGGTGGGCTGGGCCAGCCTCAGGGGCTAATGCTGATAAACAGTGCGGGTGGTGAAGCACAGATCCTGGCATTCATGCAGTTGTGGAAACAGGTTGTGGGTGATTGGAAAGTCCCCCCTTTACTGCTCTAATGGGAAGTATTGAGACCAATCCCGTCTTGTACGTCTGACCTTTCTTATGTGCTGTTCTGGATTGGTCATCTTTTCAACTTATCGAGGGTCGTATTGAGACGATAGAAAAGCGGCTTTTTGGTAGAACTTGAAGAGTAAAGCATTCCCAAATATTGTATGATATCACGGTACTATTGGCATAGGGATATTATAAAGGGCCATGAGAGCTATCGATCCTCTACCTCCACTGTAATGTCAACCGTCATTAACACTCCGCCCCCCTTCTCTCCATCAGTCAAACGCTTCGTGCTATCACTGAAGCTCGACCTTCTGATGGTCGACTTCCTCTTTACGGACACGACCGAGTCAATCGTCGCCAATTCTGTGGGCCCTTTCCCTTTACTTCCATGACTTCCAAGTGTAGAATCTTGTCCGTATGGATGAGTATGTTTCAGCTCGACCTCATCGGGCAGTCTGGTGGTGATTAGGCCGGAATGCAAACCCGCAAAAATATGGTACAGCGTGGGTAGGCAGACGATGGTGACAGTTGAGCAAGTCATGGCTTGCTGGCAGATTGTGGGGTTAACGATGGTCCCTAGGTTCGCGAAAAAAAATTCAGTAAGAGTGAGTGGAGATGACTCTAATAGTACTAACATGTTATATCGGTTGAAAGAAGGTATGAGGGTAGAAGGGCGAGGTGTGCAATGGCCAGTGCTAGTACACTGTACCGTTGGTCAGTGGCTTATCCTTTCTAGAGATTGGACAGACAATGTACATTATGCGTGCCGAGAAAGCAGCTAGAATCTTCACCCTTGTTGTGCGTGTCAATTGGACATTGCGCATCATCAAGAATGGGATGACCACGATGGCAAGTTCTGTGATTATGTGTATTATCGAAATAGGGTAGAGTATCGAGCCCTTATGAACAGTCAGAAAACGCACATCCCTAAGTTTTCTGTAATATGCATACCTTCCCAGCACAGTGAGAGGAGCTGTAGAGCCACGGGTCAGGCATCTCGCATTGGAATGCAATCCCAAAGATGGCGAAAACGGTCCAGGCTGCTACAAGGCCGACAGTGATGCGACAAGTTTGGCAGATACCGCGGTGGGGAGTCAATTTCCAGACGAGCAGCGTGGTAGAAATTTCGGATAATGAGAGGACAAGGACGTGGAGTAGCTGCGCAGCATAGAGGTACTATATCACAAATTCCTGCTTGGTGACTCCTCGTTGGAGATGCTATGGAAAGAACTAACCTTGCTAGCTGTCTGGATGGCTGTGTCACTCAGACTGTCAATATGTCGGCCTATTCCACTATCAACTCCTTTTTGTATCACTGCCACCTCGACAATCAGTAGCGCCTAAGTACAATGACTGGTTAGAGGATTCTGTGCTCCTTGGGCCGTTAACCACCTACCAGAGCTAACCATACGGGTGTATGGACAGCAGACCGACGCTGTTTGAAGTAGAGCACCGAGCATAGCTTTGCTGCCACAAAGATAATTGCGACAATCAGAAGTGCAATAGATACGAGAGTTATAAGTGGTCCATGATTGTCATTTGAGAGTGTCTCGAAGGGAGCTTCGGTCTCAGCCATGATCACGGTGATGGAAGGACATAATCGAACAGTCGATAGGTTAGAGACGGAGTCGGATGACAGAGCGGATTATAGCGAAAGTGAAATTTCGAGAAGAGGATATCTGTTTATTGGCGCAGTAATTGGAGTATCCTTGGCTACCGGGTTCATGATCCCTGTCGTGCTCGTCTGCGTGTAAACGAGGTGGACGAGACCTCATGTCGCCGGTTCAACACTAATCCCCCCGGAGTCAGGCACCAACAATCGATCATACCATCACCCCTGTGTTCGATGTTGCGGCAAGACCTTCTACTTGAAATTACGTTTTATTGCCACTGTTGACATGCCTAGCACTTCCAAACCTTACGACTGTGACCAAGGAGCCTGGCTGTCATCTCTGATCCAGCCCTCGTAATTGTCCTGGCGAGTGTAGATTTTCCCGCGAGATTGCTCCGCTGAAGCTAGCTAATTATTGTGTCGCAACGGACGGAGTCATTCTAGGCGCAATTTATGCTGTGGGGGATCAGTGGTGGATTCTCCGATGGTCCGAGCCCGGAGATGCTGCTAATGCACCCTAAATGCCTTCCGTGCCGTTAGTCCCATTTACTGGCGTCGAAAACCCATGTCATTCAATCTAAACGGCGGGGTCGCCCTGCTTTAGTTCGATGTCCTCGTCCATTGTTTGCTGAGAATGTTGTTTCGCTCAAATGACAGTTGCAGATGGTCGCATGCCGCGTCACCAGAATCGGCCAGTTGTGTCTGCAAAGACGCAGCGCCATGATTCCACTTCAAGACAATGTCCGGAGGGTTCCCTGAAATCGGCCTGCGTGGCATCCCTGCATACATTTGAGCCTGCCCGAAGTCGGACGCTCAAGGTTCCGAAATATTTTCCCTGTCTTTCTGGTGCCATTCATCCCTAACTAGAGAAAGTTGCTTTGTGGGAGATTCTTCCATCAGCACCGCCACTTGATGCACTCTTTTCTGCAGACTGTTATCATTGACACCGCTTGTATAAGATGCTAGATGAGGAGATTGAAATGAAAAGCGGCAGTGCCGTCCGATCCACGGTTGCTGATGGAAGCCCGCGTGGTGCTGCAAGCAGCAGCGTCGAGTACCGTCAGCGACAGAAGCTAGACGTACATGATTGCCTTATCTGAATCACACCCCAGTTTGCGCATGCTCACATGGTTCTTCCCAGCGGTACTTGAATTTCTTCTCCTCCCTGGCGTTCTCTGCGACACTTCTGGCGTCATGGGAATCGGCTGGAGGCAGCTTACAGGCCGGACTTTTTAACGGAGGTCCTGCTGCTATTGTGTATGGCATCATTATCAGTGGTGTGGGGAATCTGGCAATCGCCACTTCACTTGCTGAACTCGCATCAGTGTATGTGGTTTCTGTTTACTATAGAGTTGCTTCAATATACTATTGCTGAAAAACATTTCGAACCTCCAGCCACCCGACGGCTGGGGCGCAGTATCACTGGAGCTACGTTCTGGCACCACGGTACCGGCGCTTCATCAGTTTTTTCCAAGGTTAGACCTTCACAGTTAGATCTGCATTGTGGCTGGACATGACAAACTGACAAGTTCGTGGATCTATACAGGCTGGGTTACCGTACGTTTGTTAGCTCCTCGAGCACTGCACCTTTTCTAACCCAATCCAGTTCTTTTCATGGGCTGCACTGGTCTGCATCTCGCCCTATTTCATCGGCACCGAGATTGAAGGAATGGCTATCCTGGCCTATCCGGACTATGATGCAAAACGGTGGCAGGGAACTCTGCTCATGTGGGCAGTAGTCCTAATCCCGATCGTCATCAATATCTTTGCCCGGCGCCTGCTCGCTATCATCGAAGTCGCAGCTGGGGTGATGCACGTTGTCTTTCTTCCCGTGATGATTGCGACATTTGTTATTCTGGCCCCGCGCAACTCCAATGCTTTTGTCTGGGATACTTTTGTGAGTGGCCTCAGTGGCTGGGAAAACCCAGGAGTCGTGTACTCCGTGGGACTATTGGGCGTCATCACCCCCTTGAGTGGTACCTCTACTCCCGCCTTGACCATATTACGAACCAACTAACCAACCTATTTAGGAGTCGACGGCATCATCCACATGTCGGAGGAAGTCAAGAACGCTAAAGTCGTTATCCCTCGGTCAATGATCTACGGCACCATAATCAACTCTATCATGGCATTTGGCTACCTCATCGCCGTCCTTTACTGCATGGGCGACTACACCGCTGCCCTCACGAGCCCGACAGGGTACCCCATCATTACCATCGCCTACCAAGCCACCGGCTCTAAAGCGGCCACATACGTGCTCATGGCCATGGGCATGCTTCCGGGTTGGATTGCGTTGTTCAATGGTCTGGCTTCTGTCACCCGACTTACGTGGGCCTTCGCACGAGACAACGGCCTTCCATTCTCAGATTTCTTCGTCAAGGTTGATCCACGATTTAAGATCCCCATTCGGGCATTGTTCCTCGTCACAACATTGGTTATTCTTCTCTCCTTTATTCAGATCGGGTCATCGGCCGCCTTCAACGCTATTCTCTCCTTGAGTACGCTAGGATTATATATCTCATATCTGATCCCATTGGTTCTGCTGGTGTGGAAACGGTTCACCGCACCGAAAGACATTCCACAGGGGACATTCTCTCTAGGAAAGTGGGGGCTGCCTATCAATCTGGTAGCAATTCTTTTCGCTACCTACTTCTCCATCTTCTTACCCTTTCCGTCTGAGGTGCCGGTCACTGGGGAGACAATGAATTACGCTGGGCCAGTGTTGGGCTTTGTGATGCTGTTTGCCATTGGGGATTGGCTGATACGAGGCCGCCATAAGTGGGATGGCCCAACAATGGCGTATTCGCGAGAGTGATGGGATTCTCTCTGGGTTGAACTTGAAGGTGTCGAGGTTATGAGGAGGCAGTTGCATGCTCATGATCAGCACACAGGCTACACATATTGTACACAATGTATACTAATACACACACACTGTGTCAAAAATATATAATCGTGACAATTATAGAAAGTCTACTTCAGCACGACTGTTTTACGACCTAGAATCATCAACATGAAGTTATCCTAGCCAATGCGTATGTAAAAGTTGAAGTTTGTGAAATTTACTTAGTTGGAAATACCGCCCCATTTTGGCATTGGGTACTTTGGATTTCAGCCATATCCAACCAGCCCAGCGAACCTTCCGCTTGCAAGGCGTACATTTTTTCTATTACAATTCTTGCTCATGAGACAAGTCTCTCGCTTAAACCTTTATCCAATCCTCGATGGTCTAACGGTCATGATTTCCGCTTGTCAATCCCTTTCGGGAACAAGCGCGGGAGACCTGGGTTCGACTCCCAGTCGGGGAGATTTATTTTTTTTTCTTGGCAGCAAAAACTTACTGCGACCGCTAATTTTAGCACTTTATCTTGATTCTGCTTTTCTTCTCTATTCTTTTATTGTGGGGGCTCACAAATTAGGCTGCGTAGGTATCACCGTATTGATCGGTGCCCGGTTTGCTATATTTGACCTATCTCCTTCACATAATGGGACGAAATGACTTCATTTGGCTGATCTGCAACTGACCCGAGTTATTGGGTTTATTCGGATCCGCCATTCAAACACATTTGATATCTGATCATTGATGAACTTTCCACTGCCCATTAAGTATTCATAATGTACCACCCCGCTTGGACGCCCCCGTCATCTGAAGTGTCATCCTTCGACGTCCAGATAGCTCTGTCGCTTGAAGGTAGGAAGCTGCAGAACCCTTTCCACCCCGGCAGAGGTTCGGAGCCGGCGGCTGTACATCCCCGTGTGGCTACAATTTGGGTGGTCAGGTTTGCAGTAGAACAGCCCAGACTTGTTCGGGTACAGAGTTTGATCTTGGTGGGGAACAAAGAGACCCTCGTATTCGAGACCGGGTCACTGAGGATTAAGCTTAACCAAGCATCCTGTTTGGAACAATTAAGCTTCGCTCGGCAGCGATGCGGAGAACCTGGCTGGACCCCTTCTCTGACTCGTAATGAGCATCGTATTCCAGCCCAATCCACACATGCGCAGCCATGGTCGTCTGCTGGGATTATGGTATATTTGAGATCCCCTCCCCTAGTTTGCCCAGCTGCAAAATCCTGCGAAAGCTCGACTGCAAAAGGATAACTATCCCACTAATGAAAATTGCCATCAAAACCACGTCATCAGAATGCCTTTCGGTACCTTCGAGCTCACTGGGGATGCCATTCCTCAATACGCACCACCATATCCCACCGGCGACTGCGACTTCACCGGTTCCACCATCCTAGTCGTAACCTACCGTACGACCGCACACAGCGTCGCTCCCTTCGTTCCCAGCATGCTTGAACTGGAGGACGAGCCCCTCATCACCGTCCGCCTCCTCCGACACAGCATGACTTCCTTCGGCCCATACAACGAGTACACCCATGGCGTGGACGTGCGCTACCGCGGGGAGAAATATGAATACTTCCTCTCCCTGATCCTCGACAACGAGTCCCCCGTCCTAGCTGGCCGAGAGCAATACGGCTTTCCCAAGAAGTTCGGCACAGTGGAGTTCAACCCGTCTGAGCCATGTGGGACCCGAGTGATGCGCGGACATGTCGAGCATCCTCCACACCAGAAGATCCTACAGATGAACTATAGTCCTGTTCGGAAGCAGGTAGTCCCGGATGTGGGGATGACGGTCGAAACACGCTGTATGAATCTACGTGTGCTGCCTTCGCCGATTGCGGGACAGCCTCCGTCTGTGAGGGAGTTAATGCCTCTGGCACTTAAGATTACGGCGAAGGAGATTTGGGAGGGTGAGGGTTCAGTCTCGTTCCCCGAGCCGTCAGAGGTGGATCCGATGCATCGGATTGAGATTGTGCGGTATGAAAGTGCGCATTTCTTGCGGGAGGCTAATCTCTGGCTCGGTCCGACGGGGGATGTTTACTCTGTTTAGGAATCGCATGCTACTTATTTATGTGGGTAGGGGGAAGCCGGATCGACACCAGGCATTCCCTGGTTCCTTTTTCGATGCAAGCCCTGTTAATCATCCGCCAGAAGGTATCCACTGTGCTATCATCAATGTATAACACTCCCAGCTATGTCTTTCAAATTGTGTACGGACACAAGTCTCTTTGGCAATGTAACGAGATGCATAGATCAGTGCATCTACATTTGTAGGCTGAGTAAAGTCCTATAGTGTGGCTGGTTTCTAAGGGCGAGCCACCAAATCCGTGATTTGTTGCATGGTAATTCTTTCAATTGATATTAAGCGTTGACAAATTGTTGCGGGGGGTTTTTTTTTTTAGCCCCCTTCAAGGGATAGGTGCATAGTAGCTAAACTTGCCCGTAGGGTCATACTTGGCCTTCAAAGACCGCAGACGCTGCTGACGCCATCCCTCGCTGCCATACAGCTGCTGGGGCGTCTCATCACCATGGGCATAGTTGACATACGCGCGGATATCCTCGCGATCAGTACCAGCAAAGAGAATGTTGCGCAGCTCCTGGCCCAAGTTAGCCCCGCGGCGATCAAGCTCGGCGCCGTTAGGGTAGTAGTTGATCATGGGAGCAGCCAGCACGTTCTCATTACGGAAGGCGAAAGCGCTCGAGCGGCTGTCGATATCGTGGACACCGCCAACAGAGTATCCCTCGAACATGAAGATGGAGTTGTTGAACGCCGAGGATCCGCGCGTAGCATTGGCGTAGACGTCCCATGCCTTCTGCTGGGCAGTGACGTTGTACGCTCCGAGGTAGATCGGGTAACGGGGGTTGGCCATGCCCATCTTCTGGCAGGGAGCGGACTCAACAGCAACCTCGGTCCATGCGGCGAGATCCTTGTATGTGCCGTTGTTGGGCGACACGGAAATGGGTCCGATCTTGCGGAAAGGCGCGGTGTAGACGGAATTGACGGTTTTCACTCCCTCCTGGATGATATAGAAGATGATGACCGGGTTGTTGGGATCGGCATCTGCGTTGTTCATCCAGTAGGACCAGTTAATCACGCCAGCGGCCTGGGTGCCGTTCTTGATCAGGTAGTCATTGGCAGCCTGGTAGACCTCGGCAACCTTGTCACCACTGAATGTCAGCGTTTCGATGGCCCAATCGCTGTATTCAATGTCATAGACCTTCATAGTGAGGGAAGTGACGATGCCAAAGTTGTGGCCTGCGCCCTTAACCGCCCACCAGAGGTCCGAGTTGGCGTCGATGTGGGTCAGGGTGCCGTTGGCCAAGACGATATTCATCGAGACAAACTGATCCAAAACGAGGCCGTGGTGGCCTTGGAGCCAACCATGTCCACCACCAAGAGCAGGACCGACAAGACTGACACATTCGCAGGTTCCAGTCACAGTCTGCTTTCCTGCGGCCCAAAGCTGATCGGTGACCTCCTTGGACATGGTGCCACCTCCGATCGTCGCGGTCTTGCCATCAGCTGCAACCTCCACACCGCTCAGCTGGCCCATGTAGATAGCGATGCCATGAGTCATTTCGCCGAGGGAGATGAGTGCACCGTGCACACCATTGTAGGTCAGGAAGGGAACATCCTTCTGATTGGCGAATTTCACCTGCAGGATCAATTAGCAACTTCTTAAGTCACACTATTTGAAATCTGAAAGGCACAGGGGAAAATAAGAAGGGGGTAGATAGGCAAATCAAGGGATGGATTGGAAGATTGGAGACATACAATTTCGGCGACATCGTTTTCAGTGCCAGGAACCACGACAACATTAACCTCGGGTTCATCGAGAACGGACCACCGCGTGGTGGCATTTGTGAATCCACTCGAGCCCGGGAAATAGACCTGGGAGGTGTTGGAAAGTCTACCTGAGAGAGTCTTCAGGTCACTTTCCCAGCTGGAGGAGCGAGGGATTTGCTGCGAGACTGTGGCAAATGCCCAGGCGGCGATGGCCGTGAGCACCTCCATCTTGATTCGAAACATGGCGCCAGAGAAAGAGTTCCCGAGCGGCAATTGAGATGCGGTGGGAATGAAAAAAGGAACGATGCACAAAGCAAAAATTAGAACCAGGGGATCTGGCAAGATGACTGGCCACGCGACCGCCCTTCTGCTGCACGTCGGAGGACCCGGGGAATTCTTGTCAGATGGACTGACCCTGACCCGGCAATTGGGGCACCTCGTTTATTTCTAGCATTCCTTCGCCATGCGAGATTACGGAGCACAATAATATGACTTTGCCGTTACTTCGCAAAGTGAGACAAGCGTCATATGACACTTATGGTACAACTCCACTCGAGCGCTGTTTTGCGATTTTCCGATCGCAAGTTATGCAGCACCAAAGAGCGCCGCGTGCGGTCCCTGTGCAGTCTCTCGGGCCATCAGCGCTCGCTTGGGGAACCGGTCGGTCCATCCCGTCCAATCTATTAGGTGTTCAATTGAGTACGTGAGGGTAATATGTGGGTCGAGGCAGCATCGGGGATCGCGGGAAAGCTGGAAGGTCGGAGGGACTAACTCTCTCTAGGGCTTACGGGTGGGCCCAAATAGACTCTGGGGTGGAGCAGGGTCAATATATTCACGCTCCAACTTATTAAAAGAATCGGCCGGTCGCCGTTCAAGAAACCATACCCCCTGGAGTCTCTTGATGTCAATTGGGCAGCGAGAATGTTCGGAGTAGGAAGGAAGCCTGGCAAACCTTACTTTCGGTGCCAAGGGTCTCCTTTGTGGGAGTTAAAAATTTCAATGGCTGCAGAACTCACTTTTCTGCCTGGGCTACAGGAGGTCTCGCTGCAATTTTGGTCGGAGTGGTAAGAAGCGTGAACTGTTCCGGACATTGCAACTACACCTGCCTGCATTGCAGGGCGGAGTCCGCCTGTTCAAGATATGTGGACAGTTATCGATTCGAGGGATGAGGCATCAGAAGCAGCCTACAACAGCAATGTCCAGCTATGGACCCTCTACGGGATCGGCTGTGTGGTGACGCTACTTAGGACATACTCACAATGCAAAGACCTGGGCTGGAGAAGATTGCGCCTTGACGATTATCTGATATGGGTTGCTATTGTAGGCACCAAAGCTGACTATTTTTTCTTATTTGTATCTGGATCAATGCTAATACACTCGCTCTCTGTAGGTATTTTACACTGCGCAAGTGGCATTGGCGTATAGTGTCGGAAATGCAGCCCACGGGCTCGCAAACAACAGCATGACAGAGGCCCAGAGAGCTGCACTGGCTCCAGACAGTACGGAATATCGGGAAAGGTCAGTTGTTTTGTACCGATTAAGTGACTAGACGTTGACAGAGGTGGTCAACAGGATAATTGGCTCCAAGATACAAATAGCCGGTTGGGCCACATATACAGCGTTGATAAGCTCGCTCAAGTTGTCAATGCTAGTGTTCTATACACGACTTATGGTAAGGCTATCGATGATCATCCATGATTCAAAGGATAACTGACCCGGCTACAGGATGGTCTCGGCCGTCGCTATCGCGTGCCAATATGGATAGGATTTGCTCTCGTTATTGGGAGCTTCATCGCCTGCATGATAACGATTCTTGCGGCATGCCGGCCCTTTAACAAGAACTGGCAGATCTATCCTGACCCCGGCAGTAAGTTCGCGTCCCGAGACCCTAGACCCAGATGTTCGCTCATGGTATCTCTACTAGATTCCTGTCAACCTGCCATTTCCAAGCCGGTGATCGCCGCAACCTTTGCCGCAAATCTCGCCACAGATCCATATCTCGTTTTGATACCAATCCCCATGCTTTGGAAATCCAGTCTAAAGCTCATGAAAAAGATTGCGGTGACAATAGTACTTGGCGCGGGGATCTTTATTCTGGTGTGTGCGACAATCAAGAGTGTTTTTCTGTTGGTGGTAAGGCATTGGCTGCATCCCTTCGCTTGACATATATGCAGAGCCGTGGCTCATTTCTCTCACAGGAACCCAATAACGGAGCATCGATAGCAGACGAATGGGGCACACGAGAGACATTTGTCGCCGTGATCACAACGAACCTCCCTATGGTTTTCCACCTGTTCCGAACCTGGCTAGCCCGGGGCTTTGGCAGCGCCTTCCAATCATCACAGCGAACCTACCAGCTACCGTCAGAAGGATTTCAGAACACCGGTGGCGGGACGACTCGAAAACGAGGCCGGGGAGGCACCAGCAGCCGGGATCCGATTACTGTCGGCTTGACATTCACCGAGAGTGAAGAACGGATGATGCAGGACATTAAGCTGCAGACGCTGGAACCACATGAAGGACCCACGGCTGGTGCTATCTTGGTCTCAAACCAGATCGAAGTCACCCATCAGACGCGAAATAGTCATGCCAGGGAACCACCTGCACCGGGGGAAGATGTAAATTGGTAGCATTCGGACCGTCAACCGAGAATTTCACACATGGACTGCTATGAAAATAAGTTTAGAAATGCGTAATCTTCAGTACAAGCGGGGTGCTCTAAATCAAGCAGAAAAGGCTGACTGGTGAGGATTTTTGGCCCTAGTGACGCCAACGTCGGCGACTTGCAGGCCACTAGCGGGTGAACTCCGGTTTAGCCTCGGAAATGATATCTCCGTGAATTGGTCTAAGCTCTTCCCCCTTGCATCCGCACAGTCCAGAACGGTGCACCGCCAGAACGTGGCAGGGGACGCACTTCCTTGAAACAGTACTGTGCTCGGTGAGGGGGTTTTATGGTTGTAATGTCGAACAAGCCTGGAGACTGCCTTGTATGCCTGTTGTTCAGAGTGGGCTAAAACATTCCAGGCAACGTTATAAAACTCCCCCAAAGCAACTAGTAGAGCAAAAGACAATCAAGCTTCTTGAGTCAAGGAGAGTTGTAAGTTGTAACAACAGGGGGCCTACCAATTTACGGTTGGCTGAATGGTTATTCTAGTCGGGAAAATATTGAAGAAATAATAAAGTCTAGACCTTTCTCTAAAACGAGCAGCTGGCCGCAGCAGTGGTGAGGAATTACCAGGTGGAGCTTTAGGATCAGATGACTATCTAAAGACGTTCTTTTGTTATAACCATAGCTGTGTCCGGATACAAGACGTAGCCTAAGGAAGCAAGCAATCAGGTGTTTCAGCCCAGTCAGGGGGTCCATTGTCACACTCATATGTTTATGTGGCACCCGCTTACTAGCCTTTTCGTAATCCACAAAACCCCAGTCTAATAGCATGATGGAAGAGTATTGCGCCTTAGATCATTCAATCAATTGTTTATGGTAGATATACGCTCCACAAAGCGAACATATTTGCAAGCTGATCAAGACAAGGCCGGGAGGACCCAAGTAGTCACCGATTCACTGGGGATATTTCCGCTCCATTCCTCTCCACTTTCCATGGATAGGGTCAAGTAAATATCATTACTGAACATATTTTCAATGACAACTGTGCGCGTTCCGTCCGGGTTCAAGGATGCCACCGACTGTAAGCCTTCGTCAGTCGAGTAGGTATAGCTTCCCGTTCCGTTCAACACGGTCGCGCCAGGAGGCATGAACTTGCTAAACTGCGCCATCATGTAGTAGGCAGTATTGAGGGTATAGCTGTCGTCGTTGTTGATGGTGACCAAGCCCTGGCAGGTATCGCATCCACCAGTGGTCAGATGCGGACCATCATCAGTGTTTGTGCCCAGAGTCCATGCCATGACCCCGGACGCATAGTTCTGCAGGGGACCCATGGTAAAATCAGCAGCCTGGTGCCATGATCCGGAAGCTGGTGTCCAGCATTCGGTCATGTATTGCTTGACCCCAGAGTTGGCGCTGTAGAACTGACTGAGAACACTCCAGTCGACATCCTTGGCATAACAGTGCCAGGCCACAGTGTCGACGTATTGACCTGCTTCCTCAAGCACAGTCTGAGGGTACGATGTGTGATCTGGAAGTCAATTGTTAGTACTTGTCAAGAGGATTGTTGGTAATGGGGTGCCTGCCAGTATTGTGGTCGTAAGCCCAGATTTCCGTGCTTAGTCCAGCGTCGGCGAGAGCCGGTCCAATGTAATTTTTGATCAGCTGCGCAGACTCATAGTCGTAAACATACATGGTCGGATATCCAGACTGACTATTCAAGGGTTCGTTCTGAATAGTAATAGCATCGACCGTAGCGCCCAATGCTTCGTACGCTTGGATGTATTTCACGAAGTACTGGGCGAATGCACTGGAGTAGCCGGTGCTTCCCGTACCACCACTGGTAAGGTAGCCATCGTTCAGGTTATTATCGGTCGCATTGCCATCAATCACACCATTCAATTTCATCCATCCGGGTGCACTCCATGGGGACCCAAGTACCTTCAGATCGGACTGCAAGGATTTCATCGTGGCCAACATTTCCGCCATAGCAGTGCCACGGTCGCCAAGGCCAAAGCCGGAAAGCGAGGGATCTGCTTCGTTCTCATTGTCATCGTAAGTGTAGACCGGATCACCAGACAGATCAGATGCGCCGATAGTATGGCGCATGAGAGAGAAATTAGCCCCATCTGAGGTCATCAGCTCATTGAGGAGCTGTTGGAGGGTCGAGCTCGACAATGTGTTGAAAGATGTGACGGTCGCATCGGTCACAGCAGCCCCAAACCCAGTAATTTCCTGCTTGTAACCGGATGATGTATCATCGATACTTAGATTCCAGGTAGATTCCGAGCCTGGGCTTCCACTGCCCTGGATGGGGGCCGCGATCGACGAGAGCTTATAGGTGCCTGATGAATCGGAGCAGTATGCGGAGGCATCGATGGCGCGTTTCTCGAGAGAAGCATGGCCTAGGGATGCCAGGCCAGCTACAGCATACCACAACATCAGACTCATGTTTGTAGGAAGAAAGGTGACAATGATATGTAGTCAGTCGAGTGTGTGAGGATGCAACCAGGAAGGAGTCTCAGGGATAATATATCCTGCGCCATCATGTTTTGGCCCCCAAGTGGCAGTTTCAGGAATGCCCTGGTCCCGTCTGTGGTTGGAGGCACAAGTCCCAAGCATCGCCGAAGCTACTGTAGCAAACATGTGCTAGCCTTGCTGACAGGAACAAATTCTAATGTAAGATAACCTGCCTAATTGGGGAAATGGTAGGTGAGATTGTACCAGTTAGCGAGAGGTGCTGGAAGCTTATTCGCCTGTATAATTATCGCTGGCGGCATGCACGCGAGTCCCGCGCACCCCAATGCAAGGGGGATGGAGATCGCTTCGGGGCCAAGTTAACTTGATGAGGGTCAATTGATTACCGAGACCTTGTCAGGCTCACCCTGTAGTATTTTAGCTCGACTCACATGGAGGTTGTAGTGTCCTTGTTTTGTGGCTGATGGTTTCTTCTTGTGACTGATATTGTATTGTTGGCTGTTGCTGCGCACATCTCTAGCCATGGATAGGTTGTTCCGGCAGAAATCGGGCAACATGTGGTTGTGTGGGGTAGTGGTCATCCCTTCGGATTTTGAGAACTTTGTTGTTTCCAGAGTTCCGACAACCCCGGTTCGAACCCGGGCACGACCTATCTTATTGGATTATCCTTACATATTTTTTTATGACAGAGTTATGTTTCTTTTTCTTTTTTGTGGGCATCTCCCTGATATCTATTTGATGTTCTCAACGATATCTGCTATGTCTTACAATAAGCTTCTCTCACTCTAAGATTAGCTTTCAGCGCTGACAGTAGGAGGTAACTTCCCGCGAGGCTACAGGAACCACCAAGTTAATCCCCGTCTCCCGTCGATAGGCAGAAACGTCTGGCCTCCCATCTCTGTGCAACATAAATATCCTATATCTGCCCCCTCTTTCGCCAGTCATACATCTCTCTTACCATATCGTCGTCCTCACCACCACTGCCATCACCGCCATCAGCAACCATGGATGAATCCAAGCCAGAACAAGATAACTCCGCCACTTCGGATCAGAGTACCGTGGCTGCCATGCAGAACTTTACAGCATCAATCCAGAGCCTAGTGCGATTGCTTCACCAGGAAATGGTGCGACGCGAATGTCAAGTGAAACCAAAGAGCGCTAAGGACTGTGATCCTGTCCTGAAGGCGCTGAGCGAGGAGATTGCAGCCGGGCGGCCAACGCACATCCCAGAGGAGAATGCTGTGGAGCTCATGTCACAAGTGGAGATCGATGAAAAGAATGAATCTTATAGAGAGAAGTATACAGGTATGTGTTGCCCCCCAACACCCTTTCACACTAGGTGATAATCGAAGAAATAGTGAATTCGAAGCAATACTAACACATTGCAGCCTTCTGGAAGGATTTGCCGTCCCCCCCAGTTGACATAAAAACCACTGACAATGCTTACCAATGGGCCTTCGACCTATATCCTCAAATTTATCACTCTCTGGGATGGCATAAAAATGAGGATCTCCTTTTTAATGCAAATATCCTAACCAAACACCGTGACGACCTTCTAGAGGCGCTTTTCGCCGTTGAAGCATATCGGCGTAAGCAATTTGATTGTTCTCTGGAGCCATCACGCGCGGCGTTCGAATATTCACGGCTCCCTCGCCTACTGTTATACTGTTAATGCTCGCTCGTTTGGAAGCCCGGCGAAATGACGCTTTGGAATGCCGCGACGGAGGTTGTGTGGATTGTCGCTACTTCGGCGCCGACCAAACCCTCCAGGTTCTGATCGAAGTGGGTCGAACACTGCACCACGACAAATACTGGAGTGCGAATGACACAACTTTGCAGGAACTGCTGCATCGCTGTTATGCCCGGCGTATTCTATCTCAGCCTAGTGCTGATAATCCTGATGTTTTGCGATACCAGTTCCATCTCATTTACGACTGCCTGGGTGCGTTGAACTTTACGTCGCGGTTCCTTGAACTTCGCGATGCGCTTTGTCTCACCTTCTATATCAGATATCAAAGGGAGCCAATCCATAAGATATTTGACATGGTCAAGTGTCACAGAAGCTTTATGAAGGGCATTGAGGATTTCAAGGAGCTTCCACTTGAAGAGTTCCCTGGTCCGACTTTCTCCCCTAACACACTCACGGTTCAGTACCTGCAAGACTTTGGCGGCCTGAGAATTGAATGGACAGATAATCTGGATGATCATCTCAAGATATTCACGGGTCGCAATGCGCTCAGGATCTTTGCTCATCCCACATTCTTCTACAATTGCCGAGATCTCGTGGAAAGAGATTATATTGAGCCCTTGCACCTTGAATTATCTCGGACGTACGCCCTTCTTTTTAGACCATCATCCCCACCGGCACTGCGACTCCTGCAAGAGGCGACCAGGTCAAACGAAATCACTTGGCTGGGAAGGAAGATCGATCAGAGTTCCCATCGGCCAGGTATGGAACAGGGCAGTAGCAAGTCGTTTGATGTCGATCTGGCCAAGCCATCAACAACCCGTATCCTGGAGAACTTTCATCGCTGCTCTCTTCCCCCCAGCATTCAAGCCGCTTTCAACGTCGCCAACCCTTTTGCTAATATCAAGGATACTAGCTTCTTCAATCAACACAAGTTCACAACCAGCTCCATGCGGCAGATTCATGCCCTCGCTCCGTACTACCCAGAGGACATTACGTTTATGATAATGTCTATTTTTCAGAACGGTTTTCATTCAAACGAGGCTTTCATAGACTATGAGTACTTTGGTACTCGGTTGCGTCGCCTCAACACATACCTGGACAACCACCAGCCCACCACACTGAAGCAGCTGTGGTTTGACAGGAGGGACGCTCGAGCGTGGTGGACTTTTTGGGGTGGCGCTTTCTTCCTCTTTGTATTTGCGGTGCTGGCTGCTGTCAATGTGGGATTCCTAGCTTTACATTGAGTTATCCCCGCTTCCAAGGCCAGAGTCACCCAACTAGCAGATGGAATCCTAAAACATTTAATGTCTGCTGTAGCTGGATCCCGTACCTCCTGAGGCATGTCAGGAACACCAAGCTGTTATTCCAACTTGTAAGGGCGGTTCGGTTCCTTGACTTTCACGTCTGTTTCTCATAAATTTTTAAACACACCCACATGATGCCGTAGGAACAACTGATGTTAGCACCAAAATGAATGTATATACTTCACGAACCGTGTGCATTCACTCCCTTCAAGTAACAGAAACCACCGTAACATGGCTGATTGGCCAAAACCAGGGGCCTAGAAGTCGAAAGAATCGCTCGATCTAGTTGTCTACTATTCTTATTGTTGCTCAATAGAACGATGGTATAGAAACCATTTCAAAGTCACTCAGAAAGTTCAAACGCAATCCAGCAAGATTGTTAGGATGTGGAATCGACACTCAAAATAACTATCTCAGCAGCTGATTACAGTTGAATTGCTGGTTATTTCTTCGAAATTGGGTGGACACTTTGGTGTTCCTTTGAACATCTTCTATTTTGAGTAATCTTCTTAGCTTGGTATGGTTCGGCCATGATACAGATATTCATATACATAGTAATAGAGAGTATAGCTAAGTGAATTGTCATTAAAGTCAAAGTCAGCTTTTTCCTAATTTTACTTGATAAGGAAACATCTTTTTCCCGAATTCCAGGATCTGTCACAATCTCTTTTGGATGAGGTGGGGTGTGCAACAAATGGAAGGCAACTGGACTACACCATGAAGATTCATAGTTTGATATCCATCGTCACATAGCATATGTTATATGAAACCATTAAAATCGCGATCTTGGTGTGTTGACTTCCTCCAAGTACTTTGTAGTCTGTTCTCTTGTTAGCGATTCCATATAACTGATTATCTCTATTTTCTCTTCTTCTATTTACGGCCAAGGAATGCACTCGAGCCGAGAGGACACAGACTCACTTGTTCAACGACATCATAGTCGTGGGCCCACTTGATAAACGCAGGGCTTGCGAAATCTGCAGCAGGATCTGGTTCGATATCTTTGATAGACTCCCAGTCGGTATCAGCATATTTCTGATGCGAGGCCGCGTGATCTTTGTGCCCGAGAAATCTTTGCGTGTTCCAAGCAGCAAACGATTTGATGCGTTCAACACGAGGCTTTCGAATATCTTCCCAGAATCTACTTATCACTGAGACATTCAGGTAAGGAAGTGACACAAGCAATATGTGCAATACCCCAATATCCTCGATAATCTGCGACAAGCCCTGTCGAGAGAGAATTAGCGTATGACTCTAGTGATGGGGTATTTCCAGTTATTCCTCAAAGTATCCACGTTAGGCTAACCTGTGCTGCATTGGGCTCCATTGCATGGGCTGAGTCACCCAATAGGATGGTTCTGCCAGTCCTACTCGTCCATCGGGGAAGATTTGGTATTTGGGCAATCTTCCACCTGTCGCACTTAGTCGCCAATTTGAGAACTGCAGAAAGTGGAGGGCATATCCCCTCAAAATGCTGCCTCACAAATGCGATATCTCCATCCTTGGTAGATCTCAGCGTATCATAACGGATTGGTTGCATAGGACTAGACGCATACCTCGCTCCACATGCTAGCATGGCCATCATCATGTTTGAGGCCGAACAAGCCGCTCCAGAATTCCATTTTTCTGGGCTTCCGACCAATGACAAAACGTTCATCGCCTGCCCAAACACATGTGTCGAATTCCTGTAGCAATAAGCTGGCGTCACCATCCGATTGTAGTTCTTTCTGTGGCACTGTTACGCCATAGTAGACTGAATCGCTGATTTGCGGGTTTACCGACCAGCCCGCAGAAACATCAAATAAAACTTTAGTACGCAGGCGTGATTGAATCCCGTCAGCAATGAGAATGATATCTCCAGCTATTGTTTTCCCTCCTTTCAATTGTAAGCTTGGACTTACGCCGGGTTCATCTGAGAAGTCTTCCACGGAAGATAATCTCGGCCCCAGCGTGCACGGCATGTTGGTAGAGAATATCCTGTAAAATCGGCCGATGAATGCCCCAATCTGGATATTTGGTGAGAGATGCTGGCAAAGTGCGTATCTTGTCCTTCCCGGTCTCCAGGTCTCGGATGAGGATCGGGAGACAGATGTCCGCGACTTGTTCAATGGCGTCTCCAAGGCCCCAAGATTGAAGAATGCGAGACGCGCCAGGACGGATCAGCAGTCCACTCCCCTTTGGCGACAATTTCTCTCGCCTCTCAAAGACCTGCATAGGTTTATCATTATATGAAATACAACTTCAAGGGTGGTCTACTTCCCTGGACATGGTGGCCGTCCTTGGCAAAGCAGTACGCAGCCGCGAGGCCGCCAAGTCCTGCGCCCACAATGAGGATCTTCATACTTTTTGACGTTTGGTTGCGATCTTAGTATTTGAATAGACATTGAAGCAGGAGTAAGTGGAAAAGTGGTGAATATAAGGGAGACAGCAAATGATCATTTCCGCGATGACGTCTGCACCCGCACACCCGCACAAATGAGCATTGGACGCCTGACCGCGGTCAACCAACCCAGAAAACGAATGGCACGCCTAATCGCCAGCTAGATGGGAATTAAAATCTGCAGTAAGCCCCGTACTTCTCCTTTGTGCTTATAACAGCGCAGCGCACTACACTAAAACCATCTCTGTAAGGCAAATCCTAACCGAAGCGAATTCGCTAAAGGGAAATAAAAGCATACAATTTAATGTAAAGTAGAAACGAAGCTGAAGAGTGAATTATTATAATAGGATTCAGTCTTCGATAAAAGCACTTGTGAAGACTCGTTAGTCGTTCAAAATTATCAATATTGCGCTCATTGCTGGTCTTGCATAGGGCAGTGAATAGTATACCCGTGCCCTCCAAACATGCCTTCGAGGTGAGTGCACCAGAGGTATGCAGTAGTAGTACTTAGTAGGCTGATAATTAGGGATCAGGAGTAATAACTAAAAAAATTTTCTCGTTATATGAGGAATCATAATATCAATATCGATGACCTGACCACTTATCTTCCGTATCTCTAGTAAGTCATTAATATACCCAGCTGCAGAACCTAGTGCTCGCAACTTATAGGTAGTGCACCAGCATGTAACTGCGGATACCAGGGGACTGCGTACTGTTGTACATGTCCTTGCAGAACGAACTGTTAGTCAAAGGTTAATTTAACGAGCTAGACAAGTTGGGCAACTTCTCCAACACATATTCATTGTTCAGTGAAACAAGTAGGAGGGACAAGAGATCAAACTCAGGTTCCCGTTAGGGGTAACTTCCGGGCAATCCATACAAAGCAACTGCCGCATCTCTGCACCCAACAACCCCAACAAAGGTTGAATGTCAAAGACAGAGCCATCATTGCCATGGCAGAGCCCGCATCCCAAACAATTGGCGCATAGGGAAACTGGTTTTATGGGTTTCTCGTAAAAATATTGTCTGCCATGGAATTTCCAACACTGTATTAGCTCCCAGGTGTATATAAAGGTCCCATAGAGGTGCCCGTTTCTACTCACCAATTGAACATCTTACTACCTTCTTCTCATTACATCAGTCATCAATTATATTCAATTCACGTGCCACTGAGTAACCTTTTTCATGACTGTCATGGCGCTCAAGGGCCGTGGAGACATCGCCCTCCTGTGTCTGGTATACAGGGAAACACTCGATGACAATTACGAATCGCTCATTAGGGAATTGAGTAAAAGATACAACTTAGTACGGTTACCAACAGCCTCAGTTGCACGTACATATCTAGCGAATCACAGCCCGAAGAAAATCATTGTGACAGACGGGGGCATAAGCGAGCCAGAAAACCAAGACATAGCGAAAAGGCTAAAGTCCTATCTTGAGGATGGTGGATCGGTAACATTCGCGCTGGACTTTGCCAGCTCTATTGATGGAGATGAATTTAACAATCTCTTTGGTCGGAAATTTGGCACACCCTGGGAGTATGACGGCCGCTGCAAGACCATTTGTAGATTCGTTGGAAACTGCATTGTCCCAGCCGGACCGGTCCCTAATTGCTCCTATGATATGGAGGCACATCTTATCAAGAACGCTTCACCTATCGAGCGAATTGTTGTTCCGCTACGAAGTTCCATGGTAAGACCCAAGAAACAGGGCCAAGCCGCGGTAGTTGGAAGGAAACAAGGCAAAGGATATTTAATCTATTGCGGGAACGAGAGTGTTGAGGAGGAATTGTGCAAGATGTTACTGCTTATATGCATTTAGCAAAAGCTCACCTGGAAGACTGAATGTACCGGTGGATCTGTACACTAGTAGTTTCAATGAGGAAATGGTATATCTAGGAGAACTCAGGCTCAATAAGCACTTTGTCTGATTAATGTCTAATGCCGCGTCGGGGGTTGCCTCAGGCTCCGCGGTTCCTTGCTGGGTAGGGGTGATGACTGTACAACTTGTCATCAGTCCGATCCTAGTTATTCATTAATATTTTGGGCTTGGATTAGCATATTTTGGTGAAGTTTATTCGGATAATGTTACACCCAATTGCCGAATAGTGAATTTAGTCTAGAGGTTGTTATCTATGGCCAGTGTTAGCAAGGTAACTTACGAATTATATGAGCCCAGATCTATGCAGATTTAAGTTTATTATGAATACTTTCAGTGAATATGACAGTAACTATTGCGCTTATGACGTCCTTAAGCTTTCCAGTGTTTCTCATCTATTACAGCACTATATCGGTCACTGCCGTTCTGATGGTCTGCCACACGTAGGAAGTCCCACCTAAATCGCCACTTGCAAAAACACCTTCAGGACCTTCTGCTATATAATCCTGATCAAGTTCTCTGCTTCTCGCTATACGTTGTGGAATCACCTTGCCCTCAGTTCTCCATCATCTGTGTTACTGCTGGGCTCCCTCGTTTCATACAACACTACAAGGCAACATGGAGTCCACGCGCCCAGAGATCCTTCTTTTATGTATCGCACCCACAGACTATCTTGGGGATCGTGCTGAACCCCTTCTGAAACGCCTAGGAGAATGCGCCAATGTGAAGCGTGCGACAACCATTGACGACGCAATACGTGGCCTGCAAGTCAACCCCAAAGCCGTCATCGTCGCTGATGAAGGTGTAACTATACCCGTCAACCGACTCGTCGTTGAAGAGCTAGAGGATTACATGCGCAGAGGAGGGTTGGCCATTTTTGGCTTCTGTTTTCCCGGTTTCGTGACCAAGGACCGTTTCAGGAGTCTTTTCCGAGTGAGAATAGGTTTGCCGTGGATTATAGGGGATGAAGAACGAACCGAATTAGAATTTAATCCTGAGTGCACCCTTCCAGCCGGAACAGAGGCTATCTCGCTCCCTACACTATACAGCATGGAGGCAGTTTTCATTAAAAATGCTCGCCCCAAGGAGAAGATTTACATTCCTGTCAAAGGTGTTATGACGGAGCGGACGTGGCATGAACCTGTCGACCAGACACAAACTGCGGTAGTGGGAGCAAAGGTGGGCGATGGATATGTGGCTTACTGCGGGGATATCAATCCGGGTAAAGAGCTGGAACAAGTCATTTTAGCCCTTTGCGGCTTTTAGGCAGGCTGGATAAACTGCCTTCTTATCAGCTGGTTTGAAGTTTCCAGGCAAATGACTCCTGTCAACTACGGCTTCGGAGACAAATCGACACCATATTAAGGATGAAATCAATTGTTGCGCTGCACTCATATTGACCTAACTACGACAATATAAAGACATCATAAAGGGTAGATTATTTCCACTAAAGCAAGTTACTAATATAATTGAATATGTGACATATTTGTGTTATTTGGTTTTGATCTTAGCCAGCAATATTGACTACTGCACGAGGTGTAAGGTAGGTCTCGATATGAAATTGCAGGACAGAGCAGTGTCCCAATCAAGGAATTCGCAGTATAAGCAATTCATGTAGAAAAGATGCGGTATATACTCTGGACCGTTTAAATCTCACACATACGACCATAGGGTGTGGAAAACAGGGCTTCCCGTCCGCTCAGCCGTACTTAAGCCACACGCCGGGAGGTTAGTAGTTGGGTGGGTGACCACCAGCGAATCCCTTCTGTTGTATGTTTTTGTATTCTTTGTCCTTAACTATTTTGTTCTTTAACTATTTTGAATCATAAAGGATGTCTCGCGATTATAGTAGAGAGGGCACTACTCTGTAGCGGAACATGTGCTGTGGTTCCGACCCAAATGTCATACATAGCCTTGCCACCTTCCGTGCATCTGGCATTCTTGAACTTCACTGCTATCACAACATCCGGATTCATTTCGTCACATCAGAACAGGCCAAAGTCTATTTCTCGAGAAATGACTATACAATAAAACCGCTTGGCTTGCCTGCCTGGCCAATTTCTTTTGCCCAAGCTTCACTAACCTCTTATCTCTCAGTCTTTCGCTCAATTTCCTCCATAATTTGAACAGGATCCTTAATCGCATTCTCCCACTCCCTCTCTATGATATCTTGCTTCTTCGGTTCTCGATCTTCAAATGAGGCATTGAACGGCCTAGATGCTGCTGTAAACGTCAATTGGATATCCCACGGGTCAATTTCAATTCTCTTTACATCTTTGTACGAGTGAGTTATATTGTACGCCCACATGAGCCGTGCCATGAGAATGAAAACGCCATTCCAGCCCAGATGCCTGCCAGGACAGATTTTTCGACCGAAGCCGAACGGGCTGTGTTCAAGGTCTGGATTGTCAATCTACCTCTCTGGTTTGAATTTATGCGGATCAGGGAAAACCTCCGGATCGAAAGTGATGACCCAGATGTTGGGAATAATCACTGTACCATTTGGTATTTGGTATCCCATGTATTCGTCGTCCTGCGTAGTTGCATGTGGAATTGCAAATGGAGTCGGCGGCTGCCAGCGCATAGCCTCATTCAGGATAGCGTTGATGTATCGCAGTTGAGGCATATCTTCAGAAGAAGGGAGCCGGTCGGGCCCAACAACTCGATCTAGCTCTTGCTGGGCCTCCTTCAAGCAGTGCGGGTGCAGCACGATGGCTTTGATAATCAGGCGTAGAACGGTAAGAATAGCTTCGAAGCCGGCTTGTTGAAGCGTCCCTATCACATAGGCAAGTTATGTGGACGTGATCTGCGACCCCGCCTTGGTTTTAAGGGCATTCTGAACCCAGTTCCACGTAGACGCTGACTTGCCGATCTCGAAATGTTTCATATGGAACTTTGGTGGTTTCTCGTTCCACGTTGTCCGAGAACCTCTTCCAAGGTGCTAAGCATTCCAGTAGCTTGTCAAGGACTGGGAACAACTCAACCACGCGGTAATAGCCATTGCTGATGGCATCGAAGGGATGGTTGTTGATAGCGAGGAGTTGGGCGGGAATATCGTTGTCAGTTGTTTCCAGTCGGATTCCGTACCCAAGTGTCACAACGATACTACTAGCATAGCGGCATATGACTGCCTCAAAGTAAAAGGTAGTTAAGCTTGAAGCTATTATATATATTATGCCTTCAGTCATGAAATTGATCCGATGCTACATCCCAACTGGTCCTAAATAGATTATACTTGATTTTCCTCCTTATTCCCTCCCTTTGATCAGATTAACCAGAACACATAAGGTATCTACTACTCGAAACTATTCAACCATCTGACCAATTCCGAATCCTCGTCCATCCAGGCATTGAGATCCCATGATATCCAATCCCGTGCCACAAACTCTGGCGCTGTCCCTCCACCTTCCACATCTCCCCTGGTGTTTCCACTCCCTTCTCCACCCTCCTCCTCCTCCCGCGTCTCCACATCCGCCCCCCTTCCCCCCAATACCAGATCAAGGATATGCCTTATCACAGACTTCGCCTGCTGACAAACATCATAATTCCCTGCCTGCCTGGACACCACATACTCAAGATCTGCAGCAAAGCGGCTCAGATTTTGGATGATTTCCGAGCGGGGAAAGGCCGCTGACTGAGAATCAGAATCGGGGTTCTGGAACCGACGCAGCAGTTCGACAGCCAGGACACCGGCCGGGGGGAGACCGAGTGAGGACATCTTAAGTCTTTTGAGTAATGAGGGAGAAGAGGATGGGGAAGGGAAACATACAATCCAAACAACAGAATTTCCATCCCACCCACCAACAGCGCGATTGGCAATCAACAACAATAGGTTGTCCAGCAGCTCGTGCGCGACAGCAATCAATTTCTCTGTGCTGGCGCCCGTCCGCTGGACTATGGTCCGCTGGAGAATGAACTCATCATAAAGTGAGTCCATGTGCAGGAAGAGACAAACTTTAGCTGTCTCGGGGCAACGGTTGAAGTCCGATGGCGTGCTGACACGGTACAGCGATGAGGGGAGCGAAAGACGCGTTTTTGCGGCGAGGGTGGATATTTCTCTGTAAATTTTTTTTCGTCATCATTCTTCGTTAGTCCTCTGCAAGCCACCATTAAAAGAAGGTAAGGGGAAAGGTAGTTTGGGCAAGGGGGTGGGGGAATGGCATCTCACGTAATTTTTTCCTCCAACCCTGGCCCCTCTCCTTCCCCGATTTTCGGATCCAGAGAAATCTCTAGTACTGTCTCTCTTACAACCCCCATCATGAAGCATGCTCTCGCGTATGATCCCCTTGTATACGCTCCCTCTGCGTTCCACCCATTGTTATCTAGCCGTGTCATCGCAGCGTCGAGAACTTCTGGCGAGGCTATGATATCTGTGAAGGCTATGTCCAGTGGCGGGTCGATGGTGATATACCGACGGATCATGCGGGGTGGACGACCTAAGAATGTGGAGAGCCCTATGTCCATGGCATAGGTGGCGACGACGAGGCGTTTGCGGTGTTCCGCGCGGAAGAAAGGGAGTTTCGATGTGGTATCGCGGTGGTGGTAGCCCAGGGTGAAGAGAAGGGTTATGAGTGCAGAGAGGGTTTTGTAGGGACGGTAGTCTGTTTGTTGGTTAGCATCGGTTAAGGGCAGAATAGGGAAAAGGGGAATCTGGTAAGAGGATACTAGGCAATAGGTATGAAGAATGGGGAGGGTGAATAGGAAACTGGAAGGGAAAGGGTACCGTAATCCCCATAAAGCAGGGTAAGAAGCGAAGCATGTTCCAGCGTCACCCAACACAACTGCTCGGAGATGACACCGGTGTAGTCGAAAAAACGAAGACAGATTTCACTCGCGGACACACAGACAGCTGCAAGACCCTTTTTGTCAAGTGGGGGACGGTTCGGTGGGGAATACGCAGCCAGATCGTGTTGCGGGAGGAGACACGCGCTGGAACCAATCACAGCAAAGACTAGCCCTATAAGCTCCCAGCGGTTCGGCATAGAGGAAAAATATTCCGTGGGGGTGATGGAAGGGTCTACGATTAATGGTTTGGAGGAGGCAGTAAAAATGCTTCGGGAGAGGATAAGTAGAGAAGGGAGCGAATTAGCGGGATCGGAAATGGCCTCGTGCAGCATAGTTCGGATGGAAGACAGGATCAGACGCAGGGCAGATGGGGGAAATAAATCGCCTTGGCAGTGGTCGAACCGCGCCGTGGCCATGCGTTCGTATAGAGCAAAATCATCGAGCAGGATGAGGAGCAGCTCGGCGCCAAGCTGGATCTGGCTGTCGTCGATGATGGCGCTGGTGTTTTGCTGCAGGGATTTAGCAAAGAGGGCTATACTGGACGAGCCATCGTCAACGTCGTCGCGCAGCACGGACAGGTAGCTGGTGGGCCCGAAGACGCCAGTGCTGGGGGTCGAGGTGCCGCGGTGACTACAATCGGCGAGGTAGCCATCACGGAGATGGCCCGGAGGCAAGGGCGGAGTGACTAGCGAGGGAGGAGGCAGCGGGCTCGTCCAGGCACTGCTGATACTGGTACTGGTAGTAATGTTGCTGCCACTTCCGCACGAGATGGAATCGGTGGAGCTGCGATCCGTCCTGTTCGGATGCTTGGACATCGGGGCCGGTTGGTATACGCACAGGGCCGGCTTGCGTCTGCGCCGGCATCGGCCGCAAGGGGCGGTGTGATCGCATCGGATCTTGGATTTGCGGCATGGTTCGCAGGAACTGAGCACCCCGTTAGAGCGCAGTAGCGACATGGTGTGCGTGTGTGGGATGAAAAGGGTCGGAGTGAGGAAGGGAGGGGAGACTTTTGGTGACGGACTCGCAGATTTGCGGAGTCGGGGTCGGGGTCGGGGTGGAGATGACCAGATGCAGGTGAGATGCTAGACTAATTCAAAACAGAAATAGGAGCTGACTAGTAGGGGGTAGCTCCTATTTCCGACCACTTGCCATCTATATAGTTATCTATGAGGCCATTACATTGGTCTTGTCCCAGGCTAAACCCAATTAGCAGTGCATCCACATCATTCCAACCCTACCCCGATTTATCCTATCCGCGTCGAGTACTAGGGTAGGACGCAAACAACTCCCTCAACTAAAGGATATGTGTATCCTGATGGTAATAAGAGTTTGTATAGATTACTCCTCAAACCGCTGCCTGCCCAGCTCCTCCTTCTCCATACTCACCTCCTTCGTAAAACATGACGCCACTAACCCCACCCCCGCAAAGACAATCAACGCAATCCAAATAACGTGGAATGAATGACTATACACGCCTGTCACCTGATCCAAGACCTCCTGCCCCACCTGTCCCCTCAGATCCCTCAACTGAGGAATAAACCCCACCGCGGCTTGACTATTCTCCAGCGCGGCCAGGCTGCTAGGCAGGGCTCCCAGCGCCTTGATCGACTTTGCAAAAACGCTGCTAAACACTGTCGACCCGATTGCAAGACCGACCAACCCGCCCAGTAATCGGAAAAAGACCAATAAGCCGGCGGCAAACCCCGTGTCGTCGACGCTGACAACGCTGGCTTGCACTGGGAGAACGAGAACGGTAAAGAGAACGCCGATTCCCAGGGAGACCACGATGGGGAGGCCCGTACGGAATGATACGGATGAGGCGGGGGTGATGATGTGAAGGAGTCCAGTCCCGACCGTGAGGAACACCCAGCCCGTCCAGATGTTCACGCGGTATTTGCGGAGGTAACTGACGGAGATTGGCGAGACGCAGCTGAAGAACAGGGACATGACATTCATGGGGAGCAGAGTAACGGAGGCATGCAGGGGAGTATCGTAGAAGGCGGCTTGGTAGAAGAGCGGGAGGTAGGTGTTGAGGGTATAGGTGACCAGGCCGTGGAGGAAGCCACCGAGAAAGGTGGTGATGGCGGTGGCGGATTTGAAGAGCCGGTAGGGCAGGACGGGCTGCGCGGGAACACGCTCGTAGACGACGAAGAGGGACAGGACGACCAAGCCGAGGATCAGCGGGAGGAGAGTCCGCCAGGAGCCCCAGGAGTAGAGAGCCCCGGCCCAGCTGAGCGGGAGGACGAAGGCGGCGCAGCCAGCAACGAACAGGGCCATGCCGAGCAGGTCCAGGAGACCAAGTTTCTGCAGTAATGTGCCCTCGACGGGGCGCAGGCGCAGGAAGAAGAAGGTAAGAATGAAGCTCGCCCCGATGAGAGGCAGGTTGATCCAGCCGATCCAGCGCCAGGTAACGTACTGAGTGAAGAGCGAGCCGATAATGGGACCGAGCAGGGCGCCGCCAGCCATGGGGATAGCCAGCAGACCGAGATATTTCGGGCGCTCTTTCATTGTGGTCATGTCAGCGGTGATAACCTCGTTTAGCACGTCAAGGCCGCTGCCCCCGAGCCCTTGAATAGTGCGGCCGACAATAACAGTGGCCATGTTCGGGGCCAGGGCGAAGACGAGCGAGCCGACGATGAAAAGAAAGTATGCGGTGTACAGCGGGATTTTGCGCCCGAGTACGTCTGAGCCGCTCAAGTAGAGAGGCTGCACGACGGATACGGCCAGCATAAAGCAGGTGCTGGCCCAGAAGGACTGCAAGGTTGTGCCTCCGAGATCGCGGGCGATGATGGGGATGGCCACCGCCAGGGTGGTCGTGTCCAGCGACACGATGAACACCATGAACAGCAGGCCCAGGAAGGCCAGATGGAAAGAGAGCGGCTTCTTGGATTTTGTCTCAAGGGAAGACTGTTCCGCTGATCCTTTCTCTTCAGAGGACACATCCATGGTAGATTGTCCTTCCGACGCCGTCTTCTCGTCCACAGGATTATCCATGGTTGTGATTCAGGAAAGCACCGTATTACCCCAAGAATGACAACCGCCAGTTGGACATACTGCGACTCAAATACCCGTGTCAGGGAGAGTTGCCTGCAGGAATCCATCGGAGTCGGCCTCGGAGTGGATCCTTTGTCAGGATCTCAGCACCGATCAATTTATAACGAGGGGGTCGTGCCACTGCTGCCCCCACCCCAAGTCCCAAGCCGGGACAAGAATTCTTAGCCAGATAAGCAGTTTAGCAAGACTTGCTTTTTCCCTTTCTCTTCCTCTCGAAATACGGTGAACAGGCTATAATAATGGAGTTTGGAGGTAATGTCAGGAGCGCCAGATCAAGGCTTGAATACTTGCTTTCTACACGATAGTCCTCCGACTATTTGAACCCATCTACTCGCTCCCATTCAGATTAGCCTGGGCAATCAACGCATACACATGCCGCGCCGCAGCTGGCACCCTCGTTCGATCAGCGCTGCTCTCAATCTCCAGCATCTCCTGGGCCCATTCCGCAATTGCAGCAACCAGGGCCTTAACCTCCGCGTCCGTGTTTGACGCATGGAAGATGATCCGGACGCGTTCCGTCCCCTTGGGCACCACCGGATACGAGATGGGGAAGACCGAGAACCCGGCCCGTTGCAGGTGAAATGCAAGGTAAAAGTTGTGCTTGGTGCGCGTCCGCAGCTGGATGATCTGGGTGAGGACTGGCTGGACATCCGCGTCTTCGTACGTGGGAAGGCGGAGAAGCCCGGTGTCGCTGGCCTTGCTCCAGATCGGGTCGGAGGTCATGGTCTCCAGGAAGAATTTCACGATCTCCTGGACGCGGTTCTGGGCCTGCTGCTGTGTCAGCTCCAGCTTTCGGTAGAAAGGGGGGCAACCCATACCCCTTGTGTCTCGCCACTGCGCAAGAGCTGGTATGTAGCGCGAATCGAGGCCAGCATGGGGAAGGATGGCGCCACGGAAAACATGATGCTTCTGGCGTAGTTGATCAGCATCGTGCGTACGGTCTCGTTGCACAGGATCACAGCTACCGAGTTAAGTCAGAGTCTTCTTCAGCAACACTAATTCAATCGTGTCTTACCTCCAGTCGCAGCCAGCGCCTTCCCAAACGTATGTAGTCGGATCGCTACTTCGCTTTCCAGCCCCAGGGCGCTCACCAGCCCAGCACCGTTGGGCCCAATCACCCCGGTGCTGTGCGCCTCGTCGATGACGAATTGGACGTTGCCCTCCGGAAACACTTCCTTGGCCGTCTCAATCAGCTCCTGAAGCGGGCAGATATCCCCATCCATGCTATAGACCGACTCAACTGCCACCAGGACCGATCGCGTGCCGTTGCGAATTTGGGGCTGCGACTCCTGGACGGCCACCAGTGCATCATACAGCGATTCGGCGTCATTGTGGCGGAAGGCCTTGCGGTACAGTGCCAAGCTATCCTTCATGCCATCGTGCACACTGGCGTGGATGAGCTCATCGTACACAATGGCATCGCCGGGGCGTGGAATGACGGAGAAAATAGCGGCATTGCCCAGGCTCCCCGTATTGACAATCAACCCAGCCTCGGCACCGTGAAATGCGGCCAGCTCACGCTCGACGTCTTCCAGGTATTTGGAGTTTCCGTCAGTCAAACGCGAGCCGTGGCTGCTCAGCTTGAAATCGGGGTGCTTGGCGAGCTCGTCCAGGTAGCCTTTCCGGACGGAGCCCGAGGTGCTCAGCCCGAGGATATCGGTAGAGGAAAAGTCCACCATGGAAGTTTGCTCCTTGGTGTGCAGCATTATGCAGCCATGCTGGGCTCGACGCACGTCGAGCTCTTCTTCCAGGTTCCGGTAAAAGACGGAGGCATTCTTCATATTAGGGGCCTTGGGCTGTTGAGCTCTCGCCCATTCAACGATAAATGAATCAGACATAGTATGAGTGCGTCAAAGGTATTAGTGCAGAAACACAATGTAGACTGGGAGAGAAAGGCACATGCTCAAGTTTTTGGGGGCTGGCTGAGTAGGCTATATCAAGACCTGTGCTATCTGGAGCTGCCATTGTGGTGTCAGCCTGGAATCCCCGATAAGGATATTTCCACAATAAGACCGTCGCATTGCGCCATCCCTCGTATAAGATACGCTATACAGCTAGTAGTTGCCAGTCTATCCTATCAAGACGGGTCTCAATGCAGTCAGACTGCGCTGGGGTAACAATGCAAGTGCAGGAAGCGGGGGGGCAAATGAGCAGTAGCATCTAAGTTACTAGGACAGGAAAGCGCTTCGGAGGGCAAGGACCAGGTGTCCGGTTAAGAAGCTTGATTAATTGATCGATTACTTTCCTCACACATGCTGATGTCAGCCCTAGCAGCCGAGTAGCGGGTGGTATCAATCTAGCAGCCAGGCTGCTGCCGGTGTGGCAGGGAGATACTTGCATCCAGGGCCATGCGATACATGATATACGAAAGTCCATACAACACAAAATACTTGCATCTTCCAAGCCTCGCTCAACGTACCTCTCAGATTGCTCGAAATTTGTTCCATATGGGCTCGCCTGAGGTCCTGTTCACGGGGTGCTGTCACCACCGAGAGGAGACGAGTCTCGTGCCACTATACTGATCGGTATTACATAGTGTTAGGAGAGGGGTAACAGTCTAGATCATACTCGACACTAAAATATCACGGCATTCATGCAGTACTAGTGGTGAAACATGATAAACTCCCTTTCCTGGTGCACCATGCACTACTGCGGCTGGACATGTGCAAAAATACCACAGGTGTCTACCATTTCATTGGTCCCTTCTTCCTTTGTACTGTAAGAATGTCTCTGGAATACAAAAAGGATTGAAGACGTATGACTTATTTTAATCAAATTCTGCTATCAACGAGCATTGGGGGCCAATTGAATTATGCTAAGGATCATGCACGATAACGCGAGTAGATAGGCGAAGAGGACAAGCCTGACGTCTTTCGATCATGACATCTGTCTCACAACCAGAGAAAGTTGGCAAGGAAAAAAGCAATCTTCCGGACATATAAAGTCCTGTCTCTCGCAACGCAGGCTTCACATTGTCACGGCTAGAAACTCAAAATTTGAGCAGTGAGCCTTTGTATCTTTATATTTCGAAATGCCATCCCGAGAAAACGGTCTTTCTGGCTCTGCTCCTAACCCGGGGGGCGAGGTTAATGATGCTAGTACGACATTCTCCCCAATTGCGATATGTGGTATGGCCCTTCGACTCCCCGGCGGACTGGGGAGTCCGCAAGACCTCTGGGACTTCTTGATAGCCAAAGGCGATGCGCGGTCCAGGGTCCCTGAGTCACGATACAATGTATCGGCCTTCCACTCCCCATCCAAGCGACCAGGCACGGTGGTGACTGAGTACGGCTATTTTCTCGACGAGAGCATTAAGCTCGGTGCGCTGGATGCGTCCCGCTTCTCTCTCAGTCGGGCTGAGCTGGAGGCCGCCGACCCCCAGCAGCGCCAGATGCTGGAGGTGGTGAGAGAGTGTTTCGACGACGCAGGGGAAGCCAACTTCCGTGCCCAGCCCATTGGATGCTACATGGGGTGTTACGGGGAGGATTGGCTGGAGTTGCAAAGCAAAGACCCCCAGCAAAATGGCATGAACCGGGTGGATGGATATAGTGACTTCATGCTGTCGAATAGGGTGTCATATGAAATGGACCTGCGCGGGCCCAGGTATGTCATGCCTTCTTCTCTTCCTCTCTCTTTCCCAGAGAAAATAGATTTACTGACATAGCACAGTATTACCATCCGCACTGCGTGCTCGTCTGCGCTAGTCGGGCTGAATGAAGCGTGTCTGGCCCTCCAACGAGGGGACTGCGACGCCGCTGTCGTTGGGGGGTCGAGCTTGATCTTTGCGCCAGCCACGACAGCGTTCATGACCGAGAAGGGGGTTCTATCGCCCGACGGGTCCTGCAAGACCTTCTCGGCGGATGCGAACGGCTACGCGAGAGGCGAAGCTATCACCGCCGTGTTCGTCAAACCTTTGGCCGCAGCCCTTCGCGATGGGAATCCCGTCCGTGCGGTGATCCGTTCCGTCATGTCCAACAGCGACGGAAAAACACCGGGCATCGCCCACCCCAGCACCGACAGCCAGGAGGCTCTGATACGGAAAGCGTACCGGGCTGCCGGCATTACAAACATGGCCGAGACAGCTTTCGTCGAGTGCCACGGCACGGGTACCCCGACAGGTGACCCGGTCGAAACACTGGCCGTTGCGCGGGTCTTTGGGGACGCAGGCGTGTATATTGGATCGGTCAAGCCCAACCTAGGCCATTCCGAGGGCGCGTCCGGGCTGACATCCCTAATAAAGGGTGTCCTCGCCCTGGAGAATCGCATCATCCCCCCCAATATCAAATTCACTGCCCCAAACCCGAAGATCCCATTCGAGGCCTGCAAACTAACGGTGCCCCTGGACCCAACGCCGTGGCCGGAATCGCGATGGGAGCGGGTCAGCATCAACTCGTTTGGCGTGGGAGGATCCAACGCGCACCTCATCCTCGACTCGGCTCGCAGCTTTCAGATCCCCAGCCCGACGCCGGACGATTTCCTCGCCGGCCCTCAGCTGCTGCTTCTCTCCGCCAGCGTGGCTGGATCGCTGCAGCGGATGACCGAGACTTTCGAGAACTGGGTCCCGCAACACCAGGACCAGCTGTGCGATCTGGCCTACACCCTAGCTACTCGCCGAGAGCATCTCCAGCATCGATCCTTCCTCATTGCCGGTCCAGACCGAGTCGTCACCCCATCTCCCGGCCGGAAGGTGCCTACCTCTGCGCCCAGCCTCGCCATGGTCTTCACCGGTCAAGGCGCACAATGGGCACGCATGGGACGGGACCTCCTCCTGCGCTCCGACTTCTCGTTCCAGAACACCATCCGGGCGCTGGACAAATACCTGAAAGCAGCCCCGAACGGTCCCGAGTGGCGATTGGAGGAAGAGCTCCTCAAGCCGGCCCTGACGTCCCGAGTCCAGACGGCCGAGCTCTCGCAGCCCCTTTGCACAGCCGTCCAAATCG